TTGCACCATGCCACGAGTGGATCCAAACCGCCCTGGTGTCGATGCTTGGTGGGGGCTGGTTGACTTGGTGGCAAGTTCCAGACGCAACGGATCTGTGGCTCTTCGAGATCTTGATCGCAGCACGGGCCGAATGGCTTGTTGCAGGGCCATGCGCAGCAATGTCTGACAGCCTTCGGGGGAGGCGTGTGGTGACACAGAGAGCTGTCAGACGTAAGCAGAGGACTGTGGCCCCTCTCGCCCTGGGTTGGGTGGCATGTATCTCCCGGCATATTTTTTTATGCACCAGGACGGGAGACGCTCTCTGTGTCGCAGCTTATACGCTGCGTAGACACTGTAGAACTCAAACTGAATAAGCGCCGAAGTGTGTGATGAGGCACGGCCAGCCCAGCAAGCAATTTCGTATCGGCACAGCTAGGTGCCATCATAGGCTAGAGGTACTCAAAGACATGAAGGTAATGAGCAACGGAGCCCTGCGATTGCTCAGAGGTTGCCAGTCTGGACCAGAATGTTCTTGGCATCCATTGACTTATTGACTTCCCCTGATCTACGACTAGTCCCAATAGTGTTTGCATGGGATGTGCACATTGGTAAGGCGTGCACGGCGTGATGTCTGTGGCCATCAACTGTGATCCGACGTGAGGGTTGGTGCAGCATGCGTGCTGGGTGAACAGCCAGTGAGACGGCTCTGTCAGCCTTGCTCGAGCTTGCATTCATACGTTCGGGGTGGAAGCCAAGCAGACGCGATCTTCTGTGGGAGGGGACACGAGAAGAAGACCCCAGTAAGATTGAATGCGAATTGAGTTTGATTTAGGGGTGGTTGATGGACGGAGAGCTAGTTCACCGGGCGGAAAGGGGTCTCGCAATTAGCCTATCAAAGTTGACCAATGGCGTTGTTGGCTCTGAGTGGTCGACATTTGCCGCGTCCAGAGCAGCGGATGCAAGGCGGGAACGGATTGGCGGGCTGGTCAAAAAGGCTGGTTACGAGTCCGATTCGAGGATGTTGTGGACGGATCTGCTCGATGCCGGCGTGCGAAAAAGTTTTTGCCAGTCCAGAGCTGGCAGGCTGACTGGTAGTGGAACGCCCACCCAGTCCTCAGCACCGGCCGGAGTCCCGATCAGGAACAAGAAAAGGTCCACCACGATGCTTGGCGCAGACCGTGAGTTTCGAGTGCCCGTTCGGCGAGTACACAGTAAAACACTGGACGACGCCTTTGTAGGAAACACGGCTAGCCCGGCAGCCCGGCAGCCTAATGTTTGTATGCATAGGGCGTTGGAGATCGGGTATCGCATTGCTCGGACACCCAGGAAATGTGTACTTGGCCAGGGCCTTCGAAATAAATCTCCACGGTAATTTGTGGAGTCATTAGGAAGGGTCTGAGAGGCCACTCATGGCTGCAGTAGCCTGATCCGTGAATAGCAACACTGATTTCAAGATCCACCCGCTCTTCTTCCGGGGGCATCTGGCCGAGCATGAGGTCCCGAAGAGGCCGTCGTGATGGTGAGGGCTCGATGTTGGAATAGAGTTATCCAAGGCTGAGACAATATTGAGCACCACACGTGGTGGGCGAGATTAACACACCCACCCCCGTCTGGGTTGGTCCTTGGACTCGTTCTCTGGAGGTAGAGAGTGTGGAGGTCTCTCCAGGCCCATGGTGCACGCACATGGCCTTTGTTTCCATTACTCGATTGGGAGGAGCCACCCTCGGAATTGCAAAATTGCTGAGGCGCGGATCCACTAATCATGAGAGGTGTAAAAAACCGTGATGGCGGGGAGGGACTTTTGATACTGACGCAGGAACATGCCTGCCCACGACCCGAAAGTTTGTTGGGCAATTCCACGCGTCTGGGAACTAAAAGTTACATCCAACGGGGATGGGGTCATGGGGTTCAGAAGAGGAGGGATGATCTCTGAACGGATGAATATAGTTGGGATGGAAGACTGGCGGAGAGCGAGTCGAGCCTGCGGAGAACCGAGGCATGCAGAGATCTGCGGAGCCTGTGAGACGGCTGCCGGTCAAGCTGTGCGCCTCATGGACAGCAACTGTCCCCATTCCCATCCTACGGCCCAAGTCGAGGAACCAAGTCTCATGTGATGGGCGGGGCTATATCACCGAGGCTGAATTCTTCGATGAGGGTGGTGGGCAGAGGCTCTTTAGTCGAGGTTCATGACTAGGTTGAGATTCATCTCCAGCGGCGTAGTATTCTATCTATGTGCAGCAAAGCACATGCAGTATATGCAATGGCCGATGACGACAGCCCTCGGCAGACGGGAGCAGATGCAGTGCGCGTGAGGTTCCAAAGTTTATCACGACTGCCGGTGACGTGTTGGTGATCGTGGTAAATAGTTCTGTAGTGATATTAACAGCAGCATAGACGATCCATGCGGTACCGAGGGCCTCTCTCTGATCAGTGCCCACGCGATTGACGGCGGAGGATTTTGCAAGTGGCGGGCGGATGGCTCAAGCGGAGTGGGGAGAGGAGGAGGAGGAGGATGATGAGTAGTACCATTGCCAGGATGCCAGGATGCAAGGGCCTGGTCGAGGCCCACCATTCCACCGTTCCACCAGTCTACCGTTCCACCAGGAAGAGCCAAAGCAAAGCAAAGCCCAGAAAGGTGGAGATGTACACAGGAATGTGCCGTATGAATGATACAGCCCAGTGACTAAGAAAGTGGGCAGCGTCACGGAATTACACACATTGGGCAATGTTGGTCGAGTGGCCCCCAAACGAAGATGTACTGTACCTCTCGTACCTGAGCCTGAGGTGCTGATGTACGCAGTGCGTGTACCACAGCAGATCACCGGCCTGGTGAAGGAGCAAGCGACTCCTTCATCTTACCAACTAACAACTTGGCAGATCCTTCCTCCTGTGGTGCTAGGGGGAAGTTAGACGGGGGACCAGTCCTCGTTCCCGGCGAGCAATTTCTACAATACGGCATTGGGCACTCAGACGAGGGCATTCAGCGCTGTCAAGGTGACAAGGGCGCCTGTGTTATTTGGTCGACGCGGTAGAGCCTCTGGATATCAATGTTACTGCACGTCCTGGCACTGGCACTGGCGCTGGCACTGGAACAGCCAGTGGAAGCCTTCTCCTTTTCACAACCTTGGACTGTCAGGAACATGGGTCGAGGGCTGTTGGTCGCTACCGGAGCTCCTCTGGCTGGCGAACTGCCCTTTTCGTATCCCCTGCCGGGGCTCGCATGATGGATCTTCTCCACCAGCTGTATGTACCCCCGTACAGTATCTGTAAGTGCCTGCAACTATAATCGTGACCTTGCCCGGGACGTCCTAGCATGGCCGGCCCAGCTGGTCTGCGATCCTCGTGGGCCCTGATGTGACCCGTCTGGAGGCCCTAGAGCGTCCATGCCACAACCAAGGCTTTTGGTGGCTTCTTGGTGCCCCTCACCAGTCTCTAATCTGCTGTTGCTGGATTCTCTGATGATGCCAGGCCAAGTGCTGGACAGCAGACACATGGCCCTTGGAAGGATCATTGCGCCCAAAAACTTGCGACCTGATTTAGAGTGAGAAAGTGAGTGAGGGAGCAAGTGAGTGAGTGTGAGGGGGAGTAGTGTGTAGGAGAATGGGGGAGCGTTGAAGAGAGAGCGAGAGAGAGAAACAGTCTGGCTGTCTTCTGTTCTCTATTTGGTCAACAAGACAAGACAGCCGCGGTCTTAATCACCGCGGTCTTAATCACCGCGTTCTCAAGTAACCCTGGCCTCCCGATATTTGCAAATCCAGTTGCCCTCATGCAGTCAGGCAGCCAGGCCAGTAGGCTGTCGTCAGTAGCCAGTAACAGGACCAGCAGAAGTGAGGGAGGACGACTTTCCATCCTCGTCGGTGGGCCCCTCTCCAGTGCCCTCTCGAGATTGGGGAGGGGTGCCCCCGGTCCACGGCACAGCGAGCCTTTCCCGTTCTTGACATGTTCAGCAGGGCCTGCTCGTCGAATGGGTGCGCGGGATGCAGATTCTTTCCCGCTTTACCACTGCTGCGACGCTGTATCCTCTCTTGACAGGATCAGCGGCCCACCTGGCATCACAACAAACTTTCTCGCAACCTCGCGGCACCCCGGTCCTTCCCGGGGCCCCTGGCCGCCCTAGCCTGTAGGCGTGCAGGTCGTGCAGGTCTTGGGAACCTTAGGAAACCTTGGGAAACCTTGGGACGGCCATCTCCCTGCGCCTGCAGGTGCCGCTTGCTACTGCGTGTGCGTCCGCCGCCGCCCACCCATCCAGCCTGCCAGCCCACCCACACCCATCCGTCCATCAATCCTCCTTCGTAAATACCACCACCCTGCCCTCCTCCCCGCCCTTCCACCGTCCTTCTATGATGGATTCGTGCTTCTTCTTCCATCCTGCCCACTCTCCTTACGGCACGGCTCACCTGGCACCTCGATTCGCTTCGCATCTGCTTTGAAACTTGCTGTGCTCTTTGGCATCGGCTGACTCCGTATGGTCATGCCACTCTCATAATCTGTCTGCTCTCCCAAAAGTATCATTTTTTTGGTATAAGCTATTCACGACCTGCCTGCCCCCCTCAGACTCTGCATGTGTCTGTGCATGTGCAACACTCGACGAACCATCTCTTCTTCTTACCGTCATCTTTAAGCTCCAAGTCGTGCGACTGAGGGCTCCTTGCTTCTGCAGCCTGGTTTTCTGGGACGGCCATTATGTGAAAGTCCTCGTGCAGTATAATCCCATATTACGGAAACAGGACCGAACCCGGCGCATCTCACCGTGACTTCCAACCGGAGGCTCCAACAGCTTGCAGTCCATAATATCGACGCCCGGGAAGCTCGACGCGTGACAAAGGGAGGAAATATAAAACCTGCTTTCTTCGCGGATACCTTTCACACAGCCTCCTCATTGGGGAACTGGCCAAAGCGCCTGGCTCATCGCCCGCCCCTGGGAGTCCTCCCGGCACCATCGACATAACCTGTTGGACTCTCACGACGAGTCGACGTGTTTCCTCACGTAGCGACTCTGGCCACAATTGGGACCAGGCAAAATGACTACCTCTACCAACATCAGCGCCCTCGCGTGCCCAAGTGTCTTTCTGAATGAGTTGCAGTTTGGAGATGGCGGATGTATGCTTGAACAGTCTCTACCCCTCTTCCAATCATCTTACTGACTGCCACATAGTTGTTGAGGGCCGACTATGTATGAACCGAACAGGCTACTCGTGCTGTCTGCCATGTCCCATGACCGATTGGGCCTACCCGGACAGCTTCGAGTCCATGAGCGCAGCAGCAAACTGGGTTGCGGTGGCCAGCACCGTCTGCTGCGTGTTCCTGCTGCTGTCCTGGGCCTGTCTTCCCATTGACAAGACGCACCGGCATTACCTCAGTATCTGCCTGACAGTTGCAGTTGTCTTTATGAATCTTGGTTTCGTCATTCCGCTGGCAGGAGAGCCAGAGCAGTGCTACGACGCCATCACGCCAAACGACATGCGAACGAGCTCGGTATGCGCCGCTTCGGGGACATTCATCATCATTGGAGGCTGGGCTGCTGTCCTCTGGATCTTTCTTAGGGCACTATCTCTTCACCTCCAAATCTGCTGGCAGGTCGTCGTCGGCCGGAATTTCATGTGGTTCTCGCAGGCCGCGGGATGGGGCCTCCCGGCGATTGGTATCATCCTGGCTCTCACACTGAGCGGTGTTTCGTTTCGTTTCGGTGCCACCTGCCACATCAATCACCAGAACAGTCTTGCAGATTTGTGGATCCCTTTGCTTGTCCTCGCCGGCGCCACCATTATCATTCAGTTCGCGACCTTCGGTTACTGCATCAAGGTCTACCTCGCATCATTGGCTGACAACAATGCCACCACCGAGAACTCGGCAGGCCTGCCTTCATACACCAACAGCATCCGTACCATGACGCCCCGACAGGCGTACCGCCGGATTCGCCGTGTTATCCAGCTTCAGTGGCGCGGAATCGCCATCGTGTTGATCATCATTGCCGATGTAATCTTCTTCGCCGTCGTCTTCGTGTTCCAGGATAACACGATTGAGACCGTCAAGCACGATCCCTCAGTCGCGCTGCCTTGGATCCTTTGCATCACGCTCAACGACGGAGACAAGAACAAGTGCTTCGACCAGGCTAGCAGCATAGCCGTAGATATGGCAACCGTCGGGGCTGTCTTAATCCTTCTGGCTGTACGTCCCCTCCTGCCCCTTCTGTCCTTTGTCATTGAGCCCGCAGACAACTGACCCTAGAGCAGATGAACGGTTTCTGGCTGCTCATGCTACTCGGGCGCTGGTCCATGGTGACGGCCTGGATGGACTTGTTGGGCCGCCGCCCTGCTGCCAAGCGTGAATTTGTATCGGTTGATGCAAGGCTAGATGACCTTAAGATGAATACAGACCCACGTTCGTACGAGATGCTATCCCGGGACTCCGGGAAGAATTACATGGACGAAATGGTAACACCGGACACAGTTCGAGAGGGTCCGATCTATCCTCCCATAAGAAGTTACCTCGCTTCGACGGCGAGCCCCACGATTGACAGCCCCGAGATGAGCTCGGGCCGAAGAACACCGGATTATTTTGGACCACAGGCACGCTATCAGGCGCCTGTGAGGTCCTTCTCGAGCCCAAGACCACCGACGCGAGAGGGCCAGAGCTCTCAAGTCAGCTGGGACGCAAACGCGGCAAGACAATACTCACGAAGCCCACCGCCAACGGGCCAGTACTCACAGAGTCCCCCGCAAACGGCGCACCAACACCAACATCAGCAAAGCTACGGTCAAGAAGATATGAATCCTCTGGGGATGAACAGAATATGAGAGAAACGGACAGCGGTCCATGGCTAAGGATGAGATATGGATATGTACACGACACACAGCATGTACATGAACCACGACACAAAGCTTCGGCCGGCTTGATTTGCTTACAAGAGAGAATGCACTCACGTGCCTGTCGTTCCCGCAACTGTATCACACTTTATTTTCACTCATCGCTGCCTCCTCCATGAGCTTGACGATTGCCATGTCTCTCCCATGACAAAATCGCAGCTGGAGGTCCAGGGAGCCAATTACTCCGCGTACACGCGCACACAGACACACACCACGACCAAGCAAGGCGCTCGCGGTGTTATTCGTTGACGAGGTTATTCTTCCCGGTCGAATTAATTTACTTGGTCCGTCGGCGTCGATCGTGCGCTCTTTTGCACAGGAAATCTCCTTACTTTAGGAGCTGTCTGCATATGGGCGCCGCTGAGGGCATAATCACTGGAAACATTGATTGGATGTATATTGGAAAGGTTTCAAAAGGCCGTGGTACGGCAATGAGTGAAGAAGGCTGGAAGACCGACTCAACGATCCGCTCACACGTCAAGGGCCGGGAGTGTGTTGCATTACCCTCTTTGGGGCAACGGAGCGGGGAGAGCGGAATGAGCGAGAAATTCCGGGAGCCCACGACGAATAGGTGTTGTGAAGAAACAGAAGGAGACCATATTGTGCCATATGTGATGTGACTCAGCCCCGGAGAAGCCGGGTGATGAGCAATCGAGGTGGCAGTCGGGCTCGGGGTCTGTCGCGTGCTCCACGGGTTCCGAGATGACCGAGGACACGTGAGGTGAGGTGAGATGTAGTGTGCAGCGAGCAAAGGAACTGAAAAAAAGGATACCCAATTTGAATTTGTATATATTTTTCCGTGACCTATCTATCATACTCCGATAATTGTCTATGGTATTCGAGACTGAGCAGAGTCCAGACTGAGCATGAGCATGAGCGTGAGCGTGAGCATGACTGCATCCCACCTGCAGCTTTAAAGTAGCTTATCAAGAGCATCGCCGAAGTAGTCGAGGTGGAGCTTTCTACAGACGATGAAAGTGCGACCTCAGTAGTCTCCACGATCATAAACTGCCAATGAATTCTCAAGTAGAAACGATCGAACGGACGAACCCCAGGTAAAAGCCAGACAAAGAAAAGAAGCATACGGTCTAGTCTAGTCTAGTCTGGCATCTAATCTAACCTTGAAGTTGAGATTGAACAGTGCTCTATGCAGGGATCTGCCGCCCAACCCCTCTGGGAAGAGCTCCCCAGGTGATTAGGTAACTCAGCTCCGGCACTGACGTTGGTCCCAGCCTCGGGAGCCCGTCTCACCGACCTGCGCTCTGGACTCTTGCCTTACCCGGTCTTCAACAACATTGATTGCTGTTGTCTACCGAGCCTTCCGTCGAAGCGCCAGTGATTGTGCAAATCTTGATCCTGCTGCCCCCACCCCCATTGCCCAGCCAGCTGGTTCTGCTGAGCTTCGAGCATCCCTGCAGCCCTAGCTGCATGAAATCACGAGCGTTGCTCTTCCGCCTCACCCGCGCGCAGAAGGGCCATCTCCTCAGTCAGCTGTGCTGCTAAGTAGTAGTATAAGTCCGAGGGACACGACTGCTACCGCCGTAAGCTGCCCTGGACAGAGACATGGCATACACACAACCTTCTTAGATATCAACAATCCGCCCTCCAAGACGAGATTATACCGCCGACTTCACGGGCACCCCCCACCCCAGGAACCGTATCTAACCACAGAACCCCAGCCAACTCAGCTCGATGAGGTCAATACGGCACTTCGAAGTCAAACCCTTCCGAATGTTCATCTTCCTCGCCGTCCTCCTCCTCGGGGGCTTCTTCCACTTCCTCTGGAAAGCAGAAGCAGCCTCCTCCGAGCCCTGGATACCCGACCCCGGCGCCCGCCTCTTTGCCCAACAACCCCTCCTCCCGCCCGTGCCAGAGACGAGCATCACCACATACTCGCTGCCTCTCACCACGAGGGGCCGCGACATAGTCGACACCAATGGCCGCCGCTTCCAGCTCTCCAGCGTCAACTGGTATGGCGCCTCCGACGAGCTCTTCATCCCCGGCGGCCTCGACGTTCAGCACCGCTCCGTCATCGCCAAGACAATACGCAAGCTGGGCTTCAACAGCGTGCGCATGCCCTACGCCGACGAGCTGGTAATACGCAACCCACACATCCTTCCGCACCTCCTGACGGCAAACCCGGACCTGGTCGGCCTGCGCGCCATGGACGTGTTCGAGGCGTGCGTGCGCGCCCTGACGGACGAGGGCATCGCAGTCATAATCAACAACCACATCACACACGCGACATGGTGCTGCGGGGCAGACCCGTGTGATGCGGGCTGGGCGAACGACCACCTGGGCCCCCTGTGTCGGATTCAGCAGACCGAGGAGGACTGGATACGGCACTGGGAGGACGTCATGTCGCGCTTCGTGGACGACCCCTACGTGATAGGCGCCGACCTGCGGAACGAGGTGCGCGGCGTCTGGGGCACCATGACGTGGGACCGATGGGCCACGGCGGCCGAGAAGGCCGCCAACAGGCTGCTGAAGCTGAAGACCGACTGGCTCATGATTGTGGGCGGCACCGAGTCGGGCAACGACCTTTCCGGGGCGCGCACGCGCCCAATCGAGCTCGACGTCCCCAACAGGGTGGTCTACAGCGCGCACGTGTACGCGTGGTCTGGATGGGGCAGCATGGAGGGCCGGTTCTCAAAGCGCCCCTATCCTTCATTCGTCAGGGCGATGCAGGCAAACTGGGCTTACCTCATTGAGGGCGACATCGCGCCTGTCTGGATCGGCGAGTTTGGCGCGCCGCAGCACCCGGGCCAGGGCGACGCCAACTACTGGGGCAACCTGCTGCGCTACCTCAAGGAGATCAATGCCGACTTTGGCTACTGGGCCATCAACCCGCGCAAGCCCAAGGACGACAAGAAGGAGACTTACTCGCTCGTGGAGGACGACTGGGTGACGCCGGTGCTGGATTACAGGATGCGGGATATGACCGAGCTCATGCGGGCCTAGTGTGCCCGCCAGGCGCTGGCGTATACTGTGGTCGGTGATCGAGGGGGGAGTTGATCTGATCGGGTTCTCATCAGGGCCATTGATTTCCAATGCTTGATGACGAGATCAGCACCAACCAGCGATGAGAATGGGCCATGAAAGAAGCTGGACGGACGGGGATAGGGCGTCATGTATATCATTGCTGCTACGGCTACGCATTGGTGTTTCGAGTTGCCTGGATATCGGCACCCTGCCAGCATGACTTTTTTTTTTGTTTCGCAAGGCGTTTGGTTCAGTTTGTTTTGGGTGCTCAGGCGGATTGCATTTATATTAACTCGTGTCCCGCGAGAAAAGGGTGTAGAGAATTGTGGAAATACCCATGATTAGCCAGTCATTTACGGGGAGATGGTAGTAGAGGGAATCAAGAACACATCCAAATCCAGCTGAAAAGTCATTTGAAGCAAGCTGTGTCGCATCCAGCCCTCTCATGATATGACATGTCATGCTAATGCAAATGATCCAGGAGATAGCTGAACAATAGCTTTGAACTCGACATAAAGAGGGGCAGGGGTTTGGCGGTGTTGTTATTAGTGGGGGGTCTTATCGTGATAAAGCTTCCCCTCGCCCTCACAAGGAAACGGATACGCCCCCGACTTCTACCTCATCACACTCTCAAGCTTCCCCATTCGTACTGCTTTCCATGTGAACGAGCAACCTTTCACTACTTTCTTATTAGCCAGGCTGGCCTGATCCGTTCTCTTCTTCACGATCACCGTGCGTGTCCAGAGCAGTTCTACCCGGCTAGTGTGGACAAACGGCGCCAAGTTCATGCTGCTGCTCACCCGACGGAGACATGTTTCTTGAAGGATACGACCAGACGATTTTGGGAGATACATTGCGGGACAGCTAGCAGACAGAGAAAGTAGGTTTGTGGCCTGGCCTAGAAGATGGATTGGCTGTCGCTTGTGTTCTTGTTTTGGAGCCTCATGCTGTTTACTTTTTGCATGGTGTATTCCCCCAATCAATGTGGCCCCTTACTCTGTCGACTTGTGCTCCTCCCACTGCCTTCAGTGAGGTATCTCCACTATTTACTGGCAGCCTGAATATGGATGGTTCTTCTACCATCCGCACGTCTGGTTGGGCTCACTCCCAATCTACAAGCATAATAAAGTCTTGTCCGTTGCGCCCCGCTAACCTCTAGCTGCCCAGTCCGGCCACCGACGTCCGTATCGAAATCATAGTCACATGTCATCACTGACGACAACGACACAATGTCGGCTGCCAATCCTCAGCCGGATCACTGCGGCAGGGGATTCGTCCCAGGGTATATGGTGAACTATCGTGGTTCGCAAAAAGCAGAGGATCGATTCGGCTTCGGATGCAGGGAAGAAATCTCAGACATGCTCGACGCTCAAGACAATGAGCCGTACCCCCAAGACTTCTCTGGCCAGTGGGAGGACTTTCCTCGCATCGCGAGAGCACGGATGAACCTCACCGCGCTTTCCCAGCATTATGACTTGTATTTCGTGGCATACCGGGGATTTGTGCATGTCTACCGCCTTGGCCGCGGCGTCAAGGTCGCCTTGAGGGAGCCCGAGGCAATACTCGACCCGAAGGAAAGCAAGACTGCAATGTCTGAATACGTCATCGGCCACATCAACCCTCGATGCCCACACGAGATCAACCACATGGTCGTGGGCGAGCTGGGGGACCAGGAAATTCTCGTGGTCAGCAGGGACAACGGCGATGTCAATGCCTGGTACACGGCGACGATAGCGGAACACATTCGGACGCCGGAGCCGGCGAGAAAAGGCCGCATGGATCCCACGAAAGGCCACGGAAGGCGGACGGACGACATAGCACGGCAGCCCCGTCCTAGGCACTTCTTTGCAGAGAATATCGGCATCTCAGCATGGGGCCTGGCAGTCCATAAGAAGTCTCGCTTAATAGCGGTTTCTTCAAATGGTCATGAGGTGACTGTATTCGCGTTCGCGCTGAATAACGAGAGCGAGGCTTTCAGTGGAGCTTCAACAGACAACGTCGACATTGCCCCAAAGGCTGGTGAAGAAGTCCCAAAAAGAGACAAAGATGTCGGCAGCGCACCATTGAAATGCGAGAAGGACCGTGTCACAGCACAACAGTCGACAGGTGAGTCAGATTCACCTGCTCACATAGTGGACAGACCAGGCGCCGAGAGAACCGAGCCCAAAATCCTGGCCAGTGTTGGAGAAAGCCCGGCGACAGTGGGGGAAACCGCAGAGAAAATTGACATGCTTCAACAGAGGTTGCAAGCACGGCAGCGGACGTGGAGAGTTGTCCTGTCCTTTGGTATAGAGGCGTCCAACATGCCAAGCATCGCCATAGTCGACGACTCCGATGGGTACGGTAGCCGGATCGCAGCAATCGATATCAATGGCTATCTCTACGTTGCGGACATCTGGCAGATTGGTCGGAAACCAGTCAGAATTCCCCCCCATAACGTTCAGTATCCGGGCGGAAGACGCTATAGGTCTGTTCGGGGCTGGAACGTGCTACCCATTACAGATGCGCAGCTGCTGCCCACCGATACGGTCCATGCGGCACTTGGCTTACATCCAGACAAGACTGTTCATCGAGCAAAGACAGCCCGTGGTGCTTGGCAGGACATATCCAGATGCATGTCGGAAGTCCGGTACGACGCTGCCTCGAGGAGGCATAAACACCGCATCGCCGCGTTTCAGTCTGAGGATTACAGCGAGGACACCGATGGAATCACCAGAGACACCTTTGCCCTAGCAGATTTCGAGGAAATCACCGCCACAACGCCACGTCTATCGGACAAGATTTGGCATCCGGTCTACGACCCCAACGACGGGACCGTCCTTGACAAAGGCCCCATACGGTTAGCCATGACGATAGTACCTTACTCGGGCAACCACTACACCGAGTTTGCCACAGCCAGGTCACTGGTCGAATTTGCAGGATTCAGGGGTGCTGCAAGGCGAGCACACGAGCTGCATGTGCCCCTGAACATCAACCAGTTCCGGCAGAAAGCTCAGCAGTGGGATGGGGAAGACCTGCTGCGAGATGTTAGTTTTCTAAGGTTCAATGAGGAGGACGCCGAGATGCTCGCCTTGGGTGAAACTGAAACTGGTGTAGTCTGCCATCAGTAAGTAACCTGATTCTGTATTTGTCCGGGCTTTGTCCCTCCAAGATGTTCTACACTAACGCCGCGTCACAGTGTGCTGGACAACGTGAACACGAACACCAATGATCCACCATGGGACATGGGATTTGGAAAGAGGTGCAGCATGCTTCTCACCATCCCGGAGCTTCACCTCGTCATCGCAGGCTCCATGTGCGGACGCGTTGCACTCCTCACCTTAACCAAGCCGCCGCACGCAAAGAATGCGCCCCGACGTGGCTTCCGCGTCGACGCCGTCTTACCCTTTCAGCACGAACAGGAGAATTCTGAGCGTCCATTCGTCTGCTTACTTGGCATAGCGGTCTCGCCAATGCCCGAGCCCCGCTCACGAGGGCTCGAGTTGAGACGGCGCCGGCGGGTGGGGAAAGGGGGCGAGCGGTCGATCGAGCCGGATCCACCGAGGAGGTGGAGGTTGATACTCAACTATCAAGACCATACTATCATGCAATACGATATCGTGAAACGGGATCACGGAGAGACGGGGTCGTGGGACGACTTTGCGGGCTCCAAGGTGCGTTCCCGTCGGAGGTACAAGGCTCGTGGCAGTGACACGGACGATGATAGCGACTCGTGGGATGACAGCTCGGAGGACGAAGACATCACCATCGGGATGGACCAAGACCCGCACGAGGACATAGTCGCGGAGGCGGTCGTGCATGCAATGTTGGACGACCTTGCCGAGGAAGAACTCGACGCGGCGTTTGGGGGCGGGGGAGATGACGGCGAGGAGATTGACTTCCCGGACATGCAGATTGCATGAGGAGAGTAATTGCTGATTGGCAGTTTCGTTTCTGGATACGACGTCTTTCGGCGTAAAGGGTGCCACAGTTGATTCAAGCATTTCCAATTTTGGGCGGGGCTAGGAAACCTGCGGCTACGATACCTTGCATGAGCTTGGTCGCGCCTTGGGGGGACTGGGAGTTTATGGATTATTTCGAGGCCCCTGATATCGAATGCTGAACAGACGCAGAGCTGATTGCGCTCTCGACGATATTCACTATATGGAAAGCATGACAGCAGTCCATGGGATTTCATCAGACAGATGCAGCTTTGCGCTCCAGCTGACGCTCTTGTCGTCTTGTTGTGGCACTGGGGTGCCGAGGGATCATCCACTGGCTGTAATCGCGACCATTCCTGTACAAAATGGTTTGTCGGCAGCAGTTGGCCCAAGATGATCTCGTACAAACAAAGACAAGCTGCTGGCCGTTTCGCACATACACGTACATTGGGCATATGCAGGGCCTGGCTTGGGCGGCTTCCGAGAACAGGTTGGCGCTGTCGTGGCCCGTTCCTTCGTGACGCACGCATTTTATGGTTCATCACTTGTGCATCTGCAATGCTGCACAATTCACAAGATGTTCGCACACAGCCAACTGTCGCGACGATTGTCACTCCTTACCCATCGGTACGCCCGAGAAAAGCTCCAGCGGAGCCCGTTCCTCTCGGAAACATGTTCTCGGAGACATCGGCCGTTGATGTTTGACTGACTGTAAGCTAGACAGACGACCATGGCATGAGGTGCAGCACCAGAAAAATAAAAGGATCCTTGCCTGGCTGTCTTCGAATATGATCCACCAGAACTCGAGTTGCGAGAGACTGCACCTCCAGCGAGGTCCGCGGAACCCAGACAGCGTGGGCCAGTATGCGACCAGGTCGTCGTCCTGCACTGGGTACGTGAAGGGCAAACTCGCTCCTGTGCCTCCGCCCTTCTATTCTGATCCATGATTAAGTAAACCATCAACGAATTGGCACGACATTTAGAGAAAGGATCCGCATGTCTCTTGTGCATGTCAAGATCAGACGACAGAACTTCCCACCACTGAGGCGGCATAGACAATTAGACTAGGCATAGTCGTGCCGGACCCCACAAGATGACGAGGTGTCCGTGTCTTCCCATGCGCGTTTGGCCGACGATCATGGCCCGGAATGGCGTCACGTCCGGCCGAGGCTGGTGGGCCCCTGGGGGAGAAGGGCCCACGAGGGAAACAGCTCGGACTCTCCTGAACGGGAATTACACGAGCTCGGTCGTGTCTCGGGACTGGAGCTCGACGAGCTTGTTTTGTCTCCCAGGTCCTTGAGGCGTGCTCCTTTTTTGGAGGGGGCTTCATCTCGAATCACTCGGGAACTGCCCACAACTCGGGTGGTGGAGGGGTTCCTGACTCCCGGGGCGCCTAGGGGGTAAGGACATAATGGAAAATGTGAACTGCGCATGATCGTTGGCATTATTTTTATACTTTTCGCAGGAGATGCTCAGCCCTGTTCCAGACGGCGACGGACCTGGGGACTTAGTCAAGCCCATTGTGCTGCACGGGGATCCTGTCTGCAAACAGCAGCGGATGAACATGCTGACTCGGACTTGGCGTTTCCTGATCTGCCAAACAAAAGATTTGGAGAAACACAGCAACAGGGGAACAGGTAGTATTGTCGCTATTGCTGCCGCTCGGTAGTCGACGACGTTGTGCGAGACTAACGCCGGCAGTGTTAACAGGAAACGGGCATGAAACAAGCATGTTCCTTTTCGTATGTCAGGCGGCATCAAATCGAATCAGCACCACGTAGATGGGCAGCCTTTTCCCATCAATCGGGGCATGCGGCTCCGGGGCAGTGAGCGGATTGGTGGGCCTCAATTAATTTGCCTTCGCTCTGCTTGAAACACGCCTTCAGTACCCATGTGGATGCCGTCGAGTCGGGTCCAGCCGAACCACCATGCTCAGGGGCCCGGTACGTGTGGAGATCCCGTAGAGAATATAACCTCGCGGGGACGATGATCATGATGCATTTCTTGAACGCCTTGCTTCCTCTTCAGCTCTGTCTCTTTACTCATCTACAATTCCTTCGTTTCTAAGCCCTGGTGCTACTGACCTTCATTCATTCGAATCCAAAGTCAATATTTACACAACCACCTGCATATATATATATATATATATATAAACAAACCCTTCAACGACAGTCAATATGAAGTTCACTGCTGAAATCGCCGCTATCGTGCTGGCCGCGACCTCGGCCATGGCCGCTCCCTCCGCCAAGCGGTCGACCCAGATCTCCTGCGACTCGTTCGGCTCGTACACGGCCGGCCAGTACACCATCTACCACAACAACTGGGGCGCGGCGCAGGCCACCTCGGGATCCCAGTGCACCTCCTTCGATAGCATCAGCGGGACCACCGTCGCCTGGGAGACCAACTGGACCTGGGAGGGTGGCTCCTCCTCTGTCAAGTCCTACTCCAACGCCGCCCTGGAGAAGGTCAACAAGCAGCTGAGCGCCGTCAGCTCTATTCCTTCCAGCTGGAAGTGGACGTGAGTTTTCCCAGCAAGCCAGCACAGCGACGAATAAACGTGGACTAACAATGGGCACAGCTACTCCAACACAGACATCGTCGCGGACGTCTCGTACGACCTGTGGCTCGCGCCCACCGAGGGCGGCACCAACTCGTACGAGATCATGGTCTGGCTGGCGGCCTACGGCGGCGCGGGCCCGATCTCGTCGACGGGCTCGACCATCGCGACGCCGACCATCGGGTCCAACACGTTCAAGCTGTACTCGGGCCCCAACGGCGACACGACCGTCTACTCGTTCGTGGCGGACTCGCCCATCGAGGACTTCTCGGGCGACATGATGGACTTCCTCAACTACCTCGTCAAGAACGAGGGCGTCTCCGACAGCAACTGGATCACCAGCCTGCAGGCCGGCACCGAGCCCTTCACCGGCTCTGAGACCGTCTTCAAGACCACTGCCTACTCCCTCACCGTCGCTTAGATTTTTTGAGTGATGCGTTGATGCAGCGTGGCCTCCTCCTTTTTCTGATTCCGATGTATATAGTGAGATCAAAGAATGGAGATACAAATCCCGTCCAAAAGAAATTGGTTTAATGCATATTTGATTCTGTGATGTGTGAATGATGTGCACTAAGGCGAATATCGATACAGAAATTGCAGCCAAAAACAGGCAGTGTCAAGATTATCGGAGGTTAAACGTGATTAAGCGGCTCAAAATCGTGGCTCGCTTAGCTGCCGCAAAGCAGTGCAACGCTGGCATGTTGCTCAGATTGTATGCGCCCCAAGCCCGACGCAGAAGCATACGATTGACTGTTCATGTATGATATTTGCAAAAAAATTGAAAGTCCGAGAGGAGTATAAGAAGAGCTCCCAGCAATGTCCCTGCCTTGCTCGAATTGTTTGCCCATCTGGCTGTCGATGATGCCAAGATAGTGCTGCTCGAGTTGGTGCAGTCCAGTTGTCGAGGCACTCGCATTGTGCGATCACAGTAGCATCTTGCTTTTTTGGCTTCTGTCGCTTCAGCTGTGGGTTGTTACCTCGTTCAAACGGGGTTGTTGCTCTGAGATCTGCTGCGAGAACCTCGGGCACACAGCAACTGAACACGAGCAGGAGACGATCCTCCACTCACTCCGATGCCCGGACGTCGACGCAGTCACGAGCGCCAATTTACATGCCTTTTGGGCATGAATGACAATGCTGCACCTATCGTCAGGTCTAGACCTGGAGACGGGGCGAGCCAGCCCACTGGGACCGCCAAGCCGGGACCCCCACAGATTTCACGATGCTCCAGCTGGTGTTGGTTGTTCGTGACGAGAGTGGGTGAGGGGTGGGCCATGAGGCATTATGGGGGGCGTGAGCGCATCAACCCGCCCGTCCGTCAAGCCTTGCCCAGCAATTAGGGTCGACGCAAGACCTACCAGCCCTCCGGGACGGAGTGGTTGCATGTCCAACGAAAGATAGCAAAATCATGGGGCTGCAGGTATAATTCTGAGTGCTCACGTCTGGGCATGCACGATGCGTGTCCTGTGGCCCCCAACCAGATATCCGTGGTGAGGCTGGACGCCGCGTGCGTGGGAGGCGACACGGATATCCATGCCTCGTCCCGACAGCTGAGTGCCAGGCAGTTTATGCAAATGAGCTGCGTGGAGGTCGGAGTGGTTTGAGGGCATTAAGTCTGCTCCCCTTATCTTTGCTGCCCAGGCGCGAGACGGAGGGCTGAGGTAGGCTAACAGTAGCTGGTGCCCGCCCAACTGGTGGAGTAGATAAGAAATTCCCCCAGATGTGTGGTTGATGATGTGGCGACGGACCGAAGAGACTGCATTACCGGCGCAGTGGATCTCAAGATGCAGGTAATTGCTCGGACTGTGACGAGACGGCCGCCTGCATCTGGCCCCAGACTCTGGGGTGTGTTGCATGCCGCTTCCGCGTGCCCGCCCCCGTGGGGAGTCGGACTCGTTGCCTCTCTCCACCAGACAAGCATGCGCCCACGATAGTTGAGTGTGATCTCATACTGAGAGACCGTGGACACATCCACAGCAAACATAACATGTCCCGTCACATTACATCCTGCGCCGTTTGATGATGACACACGCATCACGACCGGCCCCTTGCCCCAAGTCAAACCATGTGCTGATCGCTCGATGGCGACTGAAGACTGTCGCAGAAGATAATAATAATAGTATCGCCGAGCACGATGACGATCAGTATGCCGAGGAACCAGCAATCAGAAGCCGTGAACCGCCCGCCAACATGGCGCACACTAGTCGACCGCCGACCGGTCCCTGCTTGTGTGCAGGGTTATGCTCCCGAGATAAGAGAATTTGAAAATCCTTGGCATCCCGTAATTGTCCAGTATAATCGTGCAGGTTCGTTGTCGATGGGGTCTGGGTGGTTGGGGCTTGGGCCTGACTGGCTGTCGTCTATTTGCTCGATTGCGATGAATACGGCAGTTTCGAAGCTGGTCTTGGTACGCGTCGTGTGCAATTGTGGCACGCCAGATAGTCTTGTGCAAATGAGTAGGCCATCGAGGAGGGGGAATGGTGTTTAGCCGGTCACCCCTTTATTGTGGCGCCTGGCGGACGACTCAAACCACAGCACCCCTTGGCCTAATCGGTCTCGGTGAACAACGGGATCTTGCGCTTACTGATTTCATCTGGCAAGCTAGGACACAATCCAGGGTGCGCGGTCATCACAAAATCCAGAACCGGGCTTCAGTAGTAATGGTAAAGTGGGTATATTGAAGACAAGCGAGACATAGGCCAGTCTGAACCAGCAATAACGTAGCAAGTGGTTCTTCGAGAATGGTCGACACGCTCAGTGAAAGAAGCCAACGAGCCTGAAAGCACAAGAACCACTCGACTTTTTGTGACCAAACCGACTACGTCCATGAAAAACAACCCCTCACGCCAGTGCCAGTAGTACCATCCCATGTTGTCTCTATCCAAAAGCACGCTGCTCGAACCGGAGTGACCAATCTTCGAATATCATGATATATTAAAGCCGAGGAAAGTAAATAACGTGAGGTGCCTCACTACGTCCTTTCGTTGTTGGACCTGTCTGAAGACCCGGTCGCCCGCTTCTCCGCATCTTCGCTGCCCCTGGAAGCGTTGCCGTTCGCCAATTGTTGGTGTTCCTCGATACCGTGCTGGGGAACCAAGCCGACGCCGTCGATGCGTTGCTCCTGTTGGGCAGGGGTCCAGGCAAGGAAGTCTCGGCGGACCTCGACGTAGTCGTAAGCTGTGGGTAAGGGTGGTTAGCACGAAAAAAATTCTTCACATGAGTTTCGGAAGGGAATAGAGACATACCGAACTCGCCGTGCTGGTCGTCGTCCATACCGAGCAACTCAGCCTCCTCGCTAGCCCGCAGCTTCAGGCCGGGAATGAGATCGATGATCTTGGCAATGATGGCGGACACGACAAAGGCGTAGCCTGAGCATGCACAGATGTACGCAATCTGGATGTACAGCTGCTTGTAGTTGTGGTCCAACCAGCCGCCCGTGATGACGCCAGTGTTAACACCGTCCAGACCGATGATGTATCCTGCGCCGAAGAGCGCGTTGAAGATGAGGCCGACGATACCGCCGATACCGTGCTCAGCGAACACATCGAGGGAGTCGTCGATGCCAACCAAAAACTTGATCTTGGTGCCAAAGTTGCAGCAGATACCAGTGACCACTCCAAGAACAATGGACGCCCACGGGGGGATGAAACCAGACGCAGGGGTGGCGGCCACGAGACCAGAGATGGTGCCGGAGCACCAACCGACGAGGGACCACTTCTTGGCCAGGCGGAAATCGAGAAGGCACCAGGTCATGGCTGCGAACATGGCGGTCAGGCAAGAGTTCCAGCAAGCCATCGTGGCGCGGAGGTTGGCACCGAACGCAGAACCTCCGTTGAAGCCGAGCCAGCCGAACCAGAGGAGAATGGTGCCCAGGAGGATCAGGGAAATGTTGTGTGGGCGGAAGTTGAGCATCATCTTCTCGTTTCGTCGTCCGAGGACCCACGAGTAGGCAAGTGCCGACATGCCCGAGCCGATCTCGACGGGACCGCCGCCGGCGTAGTCGAGGACGCCGTAGTTGAAGGCCCAGCCGTTGATGTTCCAAACCCAGCAGGCGATCGGGCAGTAGACGAGCGTGGCCCAGAAGAAGGTGAAGACCATGGCAGGAAGGACTCGGCCGCGCTCAGCGGTGGCACCAACGACGAGGGCAGCGGTGACAGCGCAGAACTGCATCTGGTAGAAGGAGTACAGGAGCTCGGGGATCAGGGGTGAGCCCGGCGAGGGCGTGGCGAGGGTGTTCATGAGACCGAAATGGTGCAGGTCGCCGATGAAGCCGTTGGTGGCAACGGAGCTGAAGGCGAGCGAGTAACCCCAAAAGTACCATTGGAAGACGATGACTGAAAAGGACATCATGACGACCCAGATCATCGAGAGCGCGGATTTTCTTCGAGCGAGGCCGGAGTAGAGGAATGCGATTCCAGGCATCATGATCAACACCATACACGAGGCCACGATGATGAAGGCCTGGTCACCGGATTGATACCATTGGTTCAGGTTCTCGGTGGCTGGAATAAGTGTCAGATACCACTGCCACTCCCACCAGCTCTTTACAGCAACAGCATTGCTGGGTCTCGGGAGGGTCCTAAGCTACATACCAGAATCACCACCGGTCTCCGCGTTGGTGCCATTGAAGACGGCCGGCGCTCCGATCCATGAGTAAGACATGGTGTTGAGACGTATGGAGCTTCGTAGCGAAGCTTAAGGTACTACCACTCTGTCGTGAGGAGGTCGGAAAGTGTGAGTGGTGGAGGTGAGGAGGGGAGGTTAGAAGCGATGTAAGCTTCCCCTTATGGAACAGACGGGTGCCGCTACTCAAGCTGTCGAAGTGTAACGACGTACGACAGGAGGACACTCGCCAGATTTCAGGAAGAGGATGAAAGTCAAGGAGGCGCCAAGGCAAGTGGAACGCGGGATAAGAGTAGTAATATATGAAAGCTAACAATATGGACCGGGCATGCGCTCTTGGTGATCTCGGTGGAGAGCAGTGGGCCAAGACGACCAAAGATGCGTGGGCGACTAACACAGGGGCCCCTGGTCTCGACGTCGATGCAGGTGTTGAGGCTTGATCTAGAAAGGCGTGAGGAAGAAAAGCCCCCGGGTTCTTTTCTGGGGGCACAAACCAGCCCCAGCTAGTCCTTGGAGATTAGCCCGAGAAGCCGGGTCTTCCAGCCTACCAAATGGACTGGTTCGACCGTCGATTGGGGCGAGTTTTCCGGGTCGGCGTTGGCGACTCAGACCTGGGTTGTGCGAGAGGCTAGAAGCTTTGCTGAACGGACCGTTCTGTGTGCAGACCACCCTGCTCGACGGTTTTGGGTGTGCTGTCTTTCTGCTTTCGACGGCCCGTATACAACAGTCCTTTGTGCCCATGTAAGCTGCGCAGTGGGATCCTGCTGCGGCTAGTGCCCGAGGGGACTACACTAGAGAGTAAATAGGAGAAGAATCCAATTGTCAAGGTGCTGACAGTGGCGTCGGAAACGTCGTCTCCCAGTCAGTCGGATTACCCTGTCAGATGCTGCCACTCGTGGGGTTTTAGCCAGGAGCCCTGAAGCCATGCAGGAGAAGACCTGAGAGCCTTAGCAGGGCGCCATATAGGGGATGTGGCTAAAAGTGACGGCGACGTTATCGAGGGTACCCCACGCGGTGTCCATCCCGCGGAAAGTGGATTTGGTGAAGGCATCAGCTCATGGCTACAGTGATACGACGCCCTGCAGTTGTCGCGTGCCTGGCTGGCCGACAGCCGTCGATCTGCTAGCCAGAAGGCGGTTCTTCGGCTTGTGGCTGGATCGGTGCTGTCCTGACTTTAGGCTCTGTACTCTCACTGTGCAGGACCTGTCCACTTCCTTCCCGCGCACGCACAGAGAGCTGTGCTCGGGCAGCCTTACCGCGAGCTAGCATACACACTACTTGCGACGGCCGGCGCTGTTCCGTGTGGGTTGGCGCTGTGATCCGTCCAGCCCTTCACTCAGCCTTCAGCTGCCTTGGTGGCTCGACTGTCGCAACGCTCGTTCCGTAGTCGGCGGTCCAGGCACATCTGCAGTCGAACGGAAAGGCTCCAACGCCCTGCATCCGTTGGCATCTGATCGTAGGGGAAACCTGCAGGCTGACAAGGGGGGTGGGGGGTCTCAAACGAGAGAATGGCGAACCGTGGGGAGACTGTTCTTTCTGACTATGCAGTACTCCAGACCCCTGCAGACGTCAAAGTCCCGAGTCTGCTTCTGCCCCCCTTTGACAGCTTTTCTTAGCGGTCGTTCAGCCTCGAGGAGATGAGCAAAAGCAAGAGGTCTGTCCATCATGCAACGTGTTTGTTCTATCCGAAGCATTGCTGGGTCAATTGGGGGTTGACATGCAGGACGCGAGAGCAGAGACGAAAAGAAAAGATGCATCAACAAGACTCGAGGCGTGTGGGGGCTCGGCGACAGGGGTGCTTTCTGCCGGATCGGGCAAGGCGAGGTCGAGGACGAGGTCGGGTGCAAAGATCGGATGCCCATCGGCCACGGCCACGATGGATCGCCTCCCAGGTTGTCGATGTTTTGAGTCCTAAAGGATGCCACGCCAGTCGATGACTTGCGTAGAGTTTGCTCTAGCGGTAGCAATTCAGATTGACCTCAGTAGAGTTGTGTGTATGGTCGATCGGTCTGTGCCCGGGTGAAGGCTTCGGAGGGCGGGCTCACGGAACACACAGCTTGGGCACTTTGCTTCTTGGACAGCAGCGTGGCACTACGGTACGGTACATTGACATTGACATTGACACTGACAGGTTTTGTCCCATACCTCCCATGGCTGCTCAACATCTCGGGACGGCTCCGACAGCGGTCAGCAGCCATCAACTGTCACTTGGGCTGCGGCTTCATTTCCTCTCAGGCCGTCCGTCTGTCCGTCTCTTCCCGAGAAGTCTGGAGAGACGGAGACGTGGAACCAGATGGTCTACGTTAAAACAAGAACAAACATACCCATGTGCCATGCCGTGCCATGCTATGCCATGCATGAGAGCACTCATTTTCAAGGGTCCAGACGTCCCGTCCGCGTCCACATCCACGTCCACGTCCACTCCCATGAACGTCTCGGTCTGCCCCGGGTCCTAAAAATGGGGACAGGGCTGAATCCGTTACCAAATCGTTTGTCCTAGCTGTTAGCAAGAGCCTTTGAGCCTCACCCAAAAGCATACCCACATTGTTTTTATCATATCTCCGGTCGTATCTATAACATAGTATCCAGAAATGGTCCGCCGCAGCACATCACCACTATCAGACAGCCTGACAGGCGACAGGCCAGCAGGCAGATCAATCAATGAGCATGTTCGCCCAATTTCCATGTCAAACAGATCAGTCATGCAGCACCCGCGTTGCACTCGCCTTCGCCTCCCCATCTCCGATACCCGGCATTTACCCAGCAGTGCAAAATTGTAAATTTCTTCACGCACCCATGCTGATTCGACCTGCCCCCCGGCCAAGAAGCTCTCATGCTCGCATCCAAGAGGCTTGGCAAACTATCTGAGAGTCTCAGAATAGGCCATGGGCGAATACCACAGTGCCGTGAGCAACTTTTTAAGGTTGCTGTCGGGCCTCATGTCCAGCACCCAAGACGGGGCGAATGGCCTGATCAGTGGGTGAGACCAGACGGGCGCCCGTCCTGGCCCTGCTTCAGACCCGGGTCAGGGCTGAAAAAAAAGCATACCGTCGTCATCCCTCCCTCTCATGCACCCCAGCTTTGTCGCTCACCATCCCCGATTTCAAATTCCGTCAGGCAGGAGGGATAAAGAAACCCAGCGTCCCACTCCCACTACCGACTAGACACTGCCATGGTACAGATGTGGAAATGGGCCCCGGTCAAGTCGAAACAAGCTCTCGGGCTAATTGCAGAGGCGGGCCTTTGCCAAGAGATAAGAAGGACAGCGCCGAAGTCCAATGAGATGCCGTTAGATTTCTCAATGCCGTCTGTCACTCGCTTCAGGGGGCCCGGCCGGATTTGGCATGGGGCCATGGGCCACGGCCATGGCATGGGATGGGCAGACGGGCTGGGCGGCCACTCGGGGGGCCGGCACACGTGATGACGACGGGGGATCCTCGAGTTCTTGTCAACGTCACCCCGAACTTCCAAATTGACATTTCCGCGCGCAGATCGCTGATCGCTGATCTCCACGGGACTGGCTTTCGGCTCGAGCTTGATCGAGGGGTCCATGTTCCGTTGCTCGATGCTCGCTGTGCCACCGTGTGCGAGGAGGAGCCGAACAGACTTCTCAGTCAACACTCACAAACACAGAGCTGTGCTTCTTTTCAGTGGAATCTCACCTGTGAAGCTGCATCGCGGTTCGTCGATCTGGATATCATCAACACGTATGAGCTGCCCAGCTGGGCTGCTGGAACAGAAACTCGAAGCCATCTGTTGATTATCGTGCAGCTTCTCCCCCGAGAAATTGACCAGGATGGAGACCATATCAACTGTCCAAGTCCATGTCTTTGACACCTGAGGGCATCCCATCTCGAATTCTGGCCTGCGCCGAGATTCTGGTAAATCCAGGCCTGATCCTTAGTATGGTGGTCCCGAAGCAGAATTACTAAGGCTACGGGCAGGCGTGCACGTAGTAATTGCATCGCCCCGGTCCCCTACTACCCCGTCCTCCCTCTGCGTGTACATACATGTGCTCCTTTGCCTTGACAGAACCGCCCCTGAATAGATGTGACTGCATTCATGGGTTGATGCATCCTGAATGGACACCGAGCCCGCATGAGGCAGGTAAAAAACATTGCAGCTTGCGGAACCACCACAATTGGCTCGGCTGGCAGTTGTGATCTCTGCGACTTTACTTCTTCTTGCAGCAGCAACCAACTCACTGCTACCCGCCCGTTGACAAATTGTGTAAGGCGATTGGTCAATTCAATTCCATGATCTTGCTCAGTTGGAGTTGACAAATATCAAATTGTTTCGCTCGTATGCCGCCTGGGACCCAAAGTGGAAGCTGGAGAATTGGTCTTGCCATCATAGACGGATGACTTGCTTCTGATTCGGACGTTGGCAGTCTGCCGAGTAACCTTGATATGTTTCCGGGCGGATCAGGACCTGCCATTGTCTACAAATCATCTCGTCTGCGTGTTTGACGCTGGAACTCGTTGGCCCCAGTGAAATGAAAGGAGTACACGAAGTGTCTATGTCTTTGCTGCGTGCCTCCTGTCTCGTCAAAACACATGTTGCCAGGCCGTCTTCACGAGGTTCCTGACGTACACCATAAGACTTCGATCACTATGCCAGGTCAGCCCAGAACGGCCACTGAGGCCTCACTGTCTCTGTCGGAGGCACAGGAAATGGATTCCTTCCCGTTCTCAGTCACTCTACCACGCTGAAGACGCAGACAACCCAGAGTCCGAGAAATGCACTCAGATGACAAGCCGATCTACTCCCTTTGAAACTCTTGATGATCTGCCATGGCCCTCATTCTCAGGGTTCGCCCTGCAGAGCTCGGCGCTCTGTCGGCCCAGCTCTTCTTTGGCATCTTTACACTTGCAACCGGAAAAAAAAAGCACCCCTTCATAAATCGCCTAGGCACCATGGTCCGAGACAGAGTCTGCAGGTACGACTCTGCAAGACATGCAGTTTGCTTTTTCGCCGTAGTCACTCTGCAGGTCCGCCGCACAGCGTGTATCCGGCAGGGCGGTGGGACAAGCACGCAGGCCAAGCTGCTCGTCTTCAACTGTCAGCCTAAAGGCAGGGCGCACTTGTGCCACGGAGCTGCAATTGTACCGGACATCACCGTGGGACCACCGCGTTGAGACCGGGTAATATGCCGTTCCGTCTCGGGACCATGCCGTGAACGCTGTGCCGTCCCCTAAAAAGATCTCCTGTCGCTGCTCGCTAGCAGCCCAGAGACGCAGTTGAAGGAATCCAGGCTCTCAGTGGTCTGTAAATTGGATCTGATATAATAAGACCACGCTGGAAGAATAGAGTGTCTGATCCTCTCATCTCTTACAACATATCAAGAGTGACGAGCCGTCGTCTAGAGAGACTGTGGTCATGGTCGATGAACAATAGCCGCTGTCCTTCCGGACATGGTGCGCAGCCCCTTCTTGAACAAGTGGGACCTCATAAAAGAGATCCGCTTGTCGTGCGGAATCTGAGCATGCCATTATGCATAGCGCAAATCCTACGCATTCCTGAGATGTTGGTGGTTGTGTGGGGACTGGGGACCCAACAGAGGCTGAAGTAAATATAGCAACGAGCGGCCCGTGCGCTCGGGAGCTCCCTATGACACATCTCCACATGCATCTCCAACTCAACGAGCCCTGTGTAACGACGTCCATGTGAGGACCACAACTCACTCTGCCTATTGACCGTTCTGTCCTCAACTCGACGTTGAAGATGCGGCCTGCACCCCTGAAGCTGAAGGCCAAGGAGGCCCAGGGCTACCAGCTAGTCCAGGGACGAGAAGACTATGGCGAGGACGGGACTGAGACGCCCCTCGAGCAGCCCCCAGCATATCAACCCGACCCTCCCAGCCGCCTGCGCAATATCAACCTCAGGGCGGTCCTCATCACCGTCATCTCCACCCTCCTAGTCATCGTGGCCCTGAACCTCGCAATCAATCCCGGCGTCTTCGGGTTCCGCCCCCACCACGGTTCGGATTGTGACTGCTCAAAACCGACTCCCAAGGTCCCTCAGTACTTCCAGACGTCCCCCGAACTATGGGCTGGACCAACAGCGACTGGGGCTCCGGCCTTCCTGGCTCAGACGTGGACCATGAACCCCACCGCAACCTATGTGCCCAACCAGCCGCTGCAGACGGCCATCCCCATTGAGGGCATGACGTCCAAGAATGAGAGCATCTTCCAGATGATGGGCTTCTTGTCGCCCTACCACCCGTCGCCCGGCTTTGGAGTCAACGAGTACCCTCTGCCGGCAGGGGCCGACATCATCCAGGTCCAGATGCTGTCGCGCCACGGCTCGCGTTACCCAACGGGCGGGACGGGCTCCAACGTGGTCACGTTTGGCGACCGGATAGCAGCGGCAAGGAAGACCGGGTCCGGCTTCAAGGCCTCCGGGCCGCTCGAGTTCCTCAACGACTGGAGCTATGCCCTCGGCGCCGAGATCCTGGTACCCAAGGGCAGGCAGGAGCTGTTTGACTCGGGCATCCTGCACTCGTACATGTACTCCTCGCTGTACAACCCCAACAGCAGGATCATCGTGCGGACCACCACGCAGGACAGGATGTTGAAGTCGGCCGAGTACTTTGTGGCCGGATTCTTTGGGCTGGAGTGGACAAGGAACGCGACCATCGAGGTCATTATCGAGGAGAAGGGGTTCAATAACTCGCTGGCGGGTTATAAGAACTGCCCGAACGCGGACAATGATCACGGTGGCAGAAATGCCACGATTGAGTGGGTGCAGAATTATCTGCAAAAGGGTAAGACTCTCTTTTTTTGTATGTCTTACAGATTTGATTGCGAGACTGACTTGTTTGCAGCGACTGCTCGCCTCAGCAGCATGATCCAAGGGTACGACTGGACTATTGAAGATACATACGCGGCACAGAACATGTGCCCGTACGAAACGGTGAGTGTCCTTGAGGCGCATGCATAAAGCCTTTTCACCACCCAGCGACGGCTTATTCACAGACACTGACATATGTCTACCCAGGTGGCCTACGGCTTCAGTCGCTTCTGCGACCTCTTCAATTATGAAGAATGGATCCATTTCAGCTATTCAGTCGGTGCGTGCTCCCAGAGAATATGTACAATCGAATGGTCGTATTCCACTCGACCAGCATTCACTTGTTTACTAATTGGGAAAAATAGACCTCTTCTTCTCAGGGGACAGCGGTTTCCAATCAAAGACAGGTGTAAGTGATATGAGGTGAAACATCCAGATGCACACAAAACTGACATACCACTTACAGCGAGCCGTTGGAATCGGATACCAGCAAGAAGTGATGGCCAGGCTGCGAAACCACACCTTGGGCTACTCGGGCTCCCAGATCAACACCACCCTCGACAGCAGCACCGAGACCTTCCCATTGAACCAGTCCCTCTACCTGGACTTCAGCCACGACACAAACATTGTCTCCGTGCTCGCCGCGATGGGGCTGACGCAATTCCAAGACGACCCGCCCCTGTCGCCCAAAGCCTACCCTGGCCAGCACAACTTCACTGTGTCGCACCTGACGCCGTTTGGCGCTCGGCTGGACATGGAGGTCATCAAGGCGCCCAAGCCCGTCAAGGCGGACAGGACCGGCTACGTCGAGGGCGAGGGCACGGGCGAGACGAAGTACATCCACTTCGTACTGAATCAGCGGACGATACCGCTGGGATGGAGCTTCCCCGAGTGCGACGCCAGCAGAGTCGACGGGTGGTGTGAGCTGGAGACGTTCTTAAAGGTGCAGGATGAGATGCCGAAGCTGGCGAATTTCGAGGAGACGTGCTTCGGCTGAGCCGAGGTGATTGAGTAGGCGCGCGTGTGTGTACACAATTGTACTCTTAGCATCTGAAGCACGGCAAGGCGTTTGTTTCACATCAGATTGACGGTCTCTGTTTTGTTTGTCCAGAACAGGATATAGATATGGGCAGGGTTTATTCACTAGGCATACTGCATATCAGGATAGAATGGATGACTGCCCTTTCCCCGTAAGATTATTTTTGCCTTGTTGCGGACAAAAAAAAGTACCGAGTATGGCGGCGGGCCAGTCGACCTGGAGACGATCCTCCAACCTCAACAGGCGAGCTCAGCGGTGACAGAAGCAACCTCGAGAGACGAGTTGACTTTCATCTCAGAGCCCCTAGCCTCTAAGGTGTGACTTGGCCAGCATCCTCCCGCGAGGACCACCTCAGCTCTGTAGGATGATTACTTCCTACTTGAAGGTACGCAGTGACACATAAAGACAGACTATTGTTCTCTCATCTGCTCTAGCTACCTTGTCTTAACGTTCGGACCCCAACAGCTACCCCGCAAACGAGGTCGGATAGAGCATGCTGATTAATTAAGCTTATGAGTATATATAAACCGGGAAGAGCAGTTTCATAGTCTCGACAAGTTAGCTTCGGGCTCTGACTACGAGACAACTCCAAATTCACCACAAGACACTCGCAGACTTATTCACCAAGTTGTCATCACTATGCCTTCCGGCCACGCCAAAGCCACCGTCGGCGACACCGTGCTCGCCGAGACAGACACGTGGGAGGAGGTCGAGGGGAATGTGTACTTCCCACCGGCGTCTGTCAAGACCGACTACTTGTCCAAGACGGATCACTCGACCCACTGCCCCTGGAAGGGGGATGCGAGCTATTACAGCATCCATGCGGACGGCCAGAAGCTAGAGAATGCAGCTTGGTACTACCCGCAGACGAAGGAGAAGGCCGAGCACATCCGCAACCACGTGGCTTTCTGTGAGTTGAAATGTTTTACTCGCTGGTTCATGGCCCAAATTCTGGGGCGGGGTGAAGAACATCATCCGGGCGCGGTCAGGTGCAGCAAGAGTTCTGGAGACCCGCTGACCTTTCTGCATCAGACAAGAGCAAGGTGACGGTCACGAAGTCTTGATTTTTGTGGGCAGCGCTTCATGGGGGGCCTGCTAGGGCTGGTGGGGCGTGTTGAGCATCCTGACTGTCACGACTCCTTCGCGTGACAGGGGTTCGCGGTGCTGCGCCTGAGGGAATGGAAAGGTTCTGACAGGGCCTATTCTTAAACTCAGAAGTGCAAAGACAAGGCTTTCTATTCCAGTTTCTCAAACAATCCTCTCGGGGTGGAGCCGCGAATATGTGACGTGACGTGGTTGTGTGGGGTGTTGTGAATCACCGGAACGGCCCAGCTTGCGGTTCGATCGGTCTGGACTCGAGCACATCGGCATCGAGCCTCTCCATGACCTCCAGGATGAGCGACAGGCTGTCCATGAAAGAGTTGACAGAGACCCGCAGCATCCGGTTTGTGGTGGCCTTGTAGTTCACCCTCATGACGTTTTGTCCCGTGACATCATCATCATTGCCATCAGCACCACCGCCAGACGCGTTGACGGTAGAGAACTCTCGGCGCACCAGGGGTGACAGCTCCTTGTCGACGGTTATGGCCTTGATTGCGATCGCGGACAGCCGGGCGGTCGGGAAGGGCACGTCGATCTGCCTGTGGGCACACGCGCACAAACAGGCGTTCTCTCAGCGAAGGAATCCTCGGTCTGACAGGAGAGTCATGCCTACTTACAGCGAGCAGGGGAAGTCTGGGTCGGCCTGAGCGGTCATCTTTGTGTGTGGGGAAAAGGGAAAAGGCCGATAGTAAAAGCTCTTTCTCTGGGACGTTCGGCTGGAATGGGCGTAAGCCTCTGCCCGCGGGAGGATTCCAATTGAGCGTGGTCTTATTATTATGTGCGCGCAGGCGACGATCTGGCGGGGGAGCTCCGGTCGAAAGCTGTGAGCTCTGCAGCCCCAACCTCGGGGCCGATAAGATAAGGAGACCAAGCGCCCATTCTGCAGCCATTGTACACCAGACACTGGACACTTGACACTTGACACGGGCTGTCGGGCACGACGGGGGGCCCAGACGTGTGGGGCCAGACGAACCTTGGAAGGAGGCTCATGCTCAGGCATGGGACTCAGCTGGGCGGGTCCCGGGGGCTTGGAAAACGGGCCTGGCCTGCACGCCGCAGACCTGCAGGCTGCTGCAGTGCTTGCAGCGAAGTGCAGTGCAGTGCAGTGCCCTCAGGGTGCGTTGGCTGGCAGGCTGGCCCGTCTGTGGTCCGTCCGTGGTCCGCCTGGTCCCGTCCCGAGGTGGTTCTGGTTGCTTGGACGACAGCAAGCGACCACCTAAAAAAGGACCCTTGATGGGATCCCCAGCACGACAGGGGCCGCCATTGGCCTGCAGTCGAGGCAACGGGGCCCAGCTCCAGGCAATAACAAACCAGCTCTCTATTATCGTGCAACACAAGGGCCATGACAACATCCATTTCCGTTTCTCTGCCACCTGCACACACAGCTCACACACACCGCTGGCAAAACTCATATTTACGCTGTTGCCCAGCTTCATCCTGCGGGTCATTGTCTTTTTCCTTCTCTCAAGCATCAATTCTGAAGTTCCTCTGCTCCTCCATCCCAAATATCCCCAATCCCAATCTCAGTCTCAGTCTGCGACTTGATCGTCTTTGCTTCTCTGCATAGCGCGCTTGCTAGCTCCTCGCTCCCAGCCTCCTTGTTGCCTCTCCCCCTCACCACCACCTCACCACCTCACCTTGCCATCCTGAGCCTTCACCTTGGGACGTAAATACTGGCTACTTACCTTTTGTTCTGCGCCGCAATCCAACACACATACATTGTTTTGCAATTGAGCCATATGCGCACGTGCACTCTCGCGTCTTGATATTCTTTTTGAGTACAGGACTGCATCCCGCCCAACAGGCGCTGCACTCTGCGACACTCACTGCAACTGCAATTGCAATCGCAATTGCATCTGCATCTGCATCTGCACCTGGCTCTTTCTTCGAGCTCGACAGCACAATCGGTTCTAGACCAAGCCGCCGAGCCAGAAACGGCGCCGACGGCCATGGGTCCTTCCAAAAGCTCCAACCTCGGGCAGATCATCGAGTATATCCCAGGTACGTCGTATTCTGCCGAATGGCGGCGAGCCGCACCTCTATGCTTTCACTGCTGCATTTCTGCACCTTTTCCCATATTCCCACCAATATCTCATGGACCACAATGAGGGTTTCTTTTGCTGCCGGCGCTGTCGACAACAGCACAGGGGCGCCAATTTCCGCAGTCCCACTTGACTACCTGCTCCAGCGTCTTCCAGTAAACTTACTAACATTCTCCGAAGACCGCCTGTATCTCGCCTCGTACATCCACCCTCCAAATGAGGATACTCTCTTCCCTTACCCAGATGGGCCTGTGAAATCGCCCACAAAGCGGTCGCAGAGAGCCGGCAACGGTCCCCAGGCAGTTCCCAAGTCCTCTTACAAGCAGCCCTACTACTTCACTGTAGACGACACTCTGCTCTACAACAACTTCCACCATGACTTTGGCCCGCTCCACATTGGGCACCTCTACAGATTTGCCCTCCAATTCCACGAGATCCTAGGTGCAAAGGAGAACAAGGATCGCCCTGTCGTGTTCTGGAGCAGAGCGGACCCAAGGAGTATGTCCCCCCCCCCCCCCAGCCTCCCACCTTATCAACCGTCTTTCGAAGCTAACCATTGCCCCAGGTCGTGCCAATGCCTCTGCACTGCTGGCTTGCTACATGGTCCTGATTCAATCCTGGCCACCACATCTGGCCCTGGCACCCATTGCACAGGTCGACCCTCCATTGATGCCTTTCCGTGACGCCGGGTATAGCCAGGCCGACTACGGCATCACTGTTCAGGATGTTGTCTACGGTGTGTGGAAAGCAAAGGAAGAGGGCGTCTGCGCCCTCGAGGACTTCGACCTGGACGAGTACGAGAGGTTCGAAAGGGTAGAGCACGGCGACTTCAACTGGATCACCCCTAGCTTCCTGGCCTTCGCCTCCCCACAACACGAGCCGGTTGCGAAAATCCCAGAGAACTCTGAACTCTGGGAAACCGTACCAAAGACCCTGGCCGCCGTCGACGCACATCCGACACTGCCACAACCGTTCAAGAATGTCCTCTCCCACTTCTCTGAGCGCAACATTGGCCTGGTGGTGCGACTGAACTCGGCATTGTACTCCCCATCCTACTTCGAGGGCCTGGGCATCCAGCACCTGGACATGATTTTCGAAGACGGCACCTGCCCAGCAATGGGCACGGTGCGTAAGTTCATCAGACTGGCGCACGAAATGATCACTGTCAGGAAGAAGGGCATTGCTGTCCACTGCAAGGCAGGGCTCGGCCGCACAGGGTGCCTTATCGGAGCCTACCTCATCTACAGGTACGGCTTCACCGCCAACGAGGTCATTGCATACATGCGATTCATGCGACCTGGAATGGTCGTAGGACCGCAACAGCACTGGCTCCACCTCAACCAAGGTACCTTCCGGGAATGGTGGGTTGAGGAGCGCATCGAGAGGAAGCTGCGCAAGGAGATGGCCGCCTCCAACCCTCAGCCAAGCACGCCCATCCGCGCCATGCAAAAAGCCAACATTGGCCGCAGCGCTAGCAAGACCTCCACGCCTCCCAACCGCAGCCCCTCGAATAGGACACCGCTGGGCGAGGTGGATAACGAGAGGACAAATGCTACAACGGACCAAGAGAACTACCTCCCAGCGCCCACCCCAGGGCAACCGCGAAAAACCCGCCATCACCCGTATAGTAGCCGCGGTGGTGCATACCGGTCCATTGAGGAGGAGAATGGCATCACACAGCAGCAGACTGAGATCGTCTCCGTCCAACGGCAGTCGCCCGCCGAGTCTGACGAGGAGCTGCACCTGCGCATGCGAGCGTCACGGAAGGTTTCCAACTCTCCCAACTCGGGCAAGTCACGTTCTGTTAGTCACACAACGACGACAACAACCTCGATCTACACCTCGGTCATTGACGACGCATCCAACGACGTCGAGAACATCGGCAGCTCACTTGGCCGGGTTAAATCGGCCCAGACCTCGCCCATGCGCGCTACTTCCGCGTCGGGCGTTCTGACAAAGGTCCGCGGTGGCAGCGGTGGCAAGCGAAACGGCGACAGTCTTCGAGGGTACCCCAGCGGCAAGGAGCCGGCCGGTGTGCGCAAGACGAGTGGCCGGGTCGGCAGTATACACAACCACAGCCCAACAACCGCGGCGGCAAACACGGCGAGGAAGATCTCCGGGGCGCTGTGAGGTGACAATCCCAGCCGATAGTGTTGCGGGCGGCGGCAAACTGCATCGTGTGCCCTTTGCTGGGCCATGCGGTGTACGAGCAATATCTGGATGACGAATTATGATCGTTACGACTTCTCTCTCGTCTTCTACTGCATACATGCGACGGCGTTTAATGATGGACATCCCGGGAAACGGATACACCTATAGGAGGCTGGGATTCCTCGGCCGGTGTCGGCGAGTGAAGCACTGAAGCACATTGAGTCTGGCCTGGACTATTTCCTGGATTGAGGACGCACTGGGAAATAGATGGCTTGGATATACATCTACTTGACCCATCACTTGTCATTCTTGCATTTCCAAATTCGTATAGATTTTGAGATAATTGCATAGGAGAGAGACTCGTGGTCAGCAAACGATAGGAGACAGGGAAAGGAACGGGGAGCAAGCATGGTTTATTGTTTAATATTCTTGGGGTGGCAAACAACAAGGGCAAGGTGGTTCGGTCGGCTTGTGTGTGTCTATTGTGTTCATCTTCTGGAATACATTTAAGGTCTACATCCTACAGCAACAGTATTCGCCGTTCCTATGAGTGAACCATAATCGCCTGGTGAAATGCCATCCTCAGATTCTCTTAGACCACGCTGCCCCAGGGAGACAGGTTTGAGCCGACCCCGACAAGCAACATCGACTGATCACAACTACATGTATTGTCCCAGCAAATTTGAAATCATTCTGTCGAGATCCCGACTAGTACTACAGCTTGATTGTGTGAGATGAGCTGGAACCAAGCCATGCAGGGGAACGGGAGCCCTCAAGATGCATGCCTAGGGGGAGGGAATCCACCGATTTGCGGGGGCCGAACACGTTGCGCGGGCAACTTGACGAGGCACACAAAGGCTGAGCGGCACTTTCCGATCCTTTTCTGCTATGTAGTCGACGTGGCAAGGAAGCTTGTCAACTCTCCTGCCTGTGTGAGGCTTTGCGTCGTTAGGGTCGCACACAAACTCTCAGCTGCTGACATCTGGGTGTTTTGGGACGGAAGGGGCCATCTCGACTACCGTAGGGGTTTGAATAGTCTTTTCACAACATTGGCTACTTGCTAGGTCTGGGGGAAGTTGTATATACGACAGCTACTTTAAGCCTTTCGTCCGAATCACCGAGGTATGTGCTATTGTAATATAGAGGCCTGGAAGTTTGTTTCACGAGTAGTTGATGAAGACCTCTCAATCCAGCTGGTGAAATGCCCGTTCGCCATGAGAAGCAGCAAGTCCGTGCCTTTTATGCACGATTTCCGGAAGCTCTCGTGCGCTGTATCACTCCGCACATTCTGTGGCCATTACGTGTCCGAAGAGGTCGTGAACAAAATCCTTGATGACCACTATTCCATCACGGCTGCTCTCAAGCATATGAACTGTCCGATCGTTTTTCCATTTACCAAGACCCGGCACAGGAAAAAAGGCCAGCGAGATGTTGATGGCCACTATTAGAGGAGGCCAAGGTCTTTACTACGATATTTCCCAAGCTAAGCCGGGCGCTTTGTGGTGAGAATCTAATGGATTTGAGAAAGTGGACAACTAACATCACACAATTCACAATGATTGCCCGTTGGCGTTTATTCAGAGAAATTAGGCGAGTTGCAAGCTCAAAAGGTCTCCCACAACAAATGTGAGTCAATAGCTAGACCCTACAGATCCTATTCTAAGAGGATCTGGACAAATCCGCAAGTTACGTATCACAGCTACTTTGTGAGGGTTGACGGTAGTAATTAGCATTACACATTCAATGATAGTGTGATATTGCTTTCTCAAAGAAATGTTATAGAATTTGAAAACGCCTAGGCAAAACTCAGTATGCTCTTAGCAATTTCAAAACTTACCATGCATTAATTCTACTTGGTGAAGGAATCAAGAGATGTATTCTTTGCATATGTAAGACCTCAGGCTGTCCTATCATCCAGTGTGGAAGCCGTGGCATGCAGGACGTGATTCTGCTTGCTTTGCAGCCCTGTTCCATAGGTGCGCTGGTCTGAGCTCGATCGTCATCACCGCTCGTTTCCTTCCTGTGTTATGGTTTGTAATCAAAGCATCTTGGCCGAAGATGCCGGTGCTGACAGGTGACACAAGCTCCTCTGAAGCCTTCCGGTGTGGTCACCGAGTGCAACACGGCCTTCAGCTGTCCAGCATGTAGGCAGCGAGTCTCAGCCCAATCCCTCGGGTCTGCGAGCCACTCGGCAATGGAAGTACCCACAGCTGCAGCGAGAAGACGCGCTCCAATATGCTGATTCGATCACTCGCGGTATCAGAGACTGCTTAGAGTGGTTGAGGCTAGCATGCATTCGTGCAGATGACATTGGCACCTTACGAACGGCTGTGGTAACATGATTGGGTCGCACAGAATTGCCCGGGCCACGGGTAGATCTCGTAGGGCTGAGACAGTAAAAGATTACTCGTTCGCCTACCGTGGGCACGCGTGGGTGCATGCTCGCGGGATATCCAATCCGGTGGCCACAAAGGCTTTGCCGGGACGGAGCTCCCTTGCCCCCACGCAACCTACTCGGTCATTTGGACCGAGCAACGACTCACAAACATGGTTTCACTGGCCGAGGAGCTGCATGCGAGTGTAAAGGGGCTGCCGATGAAATCATAGAGTTGGTGGGTTACCGAGAAACAAAGGCTGAGGGAGATGAGATGCGCAGGTGCCTTGTGAAAATGAAGTGTACTCCATCACCGAGCGTCGACATTTGATGTGCAGCCCTACATGCATGTTGGGGAGAGGCACAGCTACCTCAAGACTGAACAGCAGCTTAGGTAAAAGGGGCAAGTTGTACGAAATCTTACGAGACAGTGAGAGAAGAGTGACGAGAATTGGTAGCTTTCCGGCCCCCAAGGCAACCTTCGAGAAACGAAGATGAAGGGCGGGCCCGGTTCAACGTTGAGGACGGGGCAGCCATTGCCCGTCTACCGGCTGGCTGGTTCGCGTGACACAAACGTGGTCAGACGTCCTTTTCCGATGGAGGGTGACACGCAGGCACGCCCGATGCTCCCTGGATTGACATGCTTGTACTGTAGTTGGTGCGTGAATAGCAACTTTACAGCAGAGTCCTCAGCCCTGTCTTGTCGATGACCTGGCCAGCACAAAGACTGGGCCTGATCGACAAGGAAATAACAACGACGACTCAAGACGACCAGGAAGCTACGATCCCGTCACTCATGATCCACGGGGGCTGAGCAAGGCAGTTGTCTGCAGGACAGCAGCCGTTCTCTGCAAAGGGGATCTCGAGATGGCCAGAGCCCGCCTGTTGGCCCAGTCCGAGGCGAGTGCAGCGTCGGACTTGCCATCTGATGTCGCATCAAGGGATGCCACTATTGACTGACTCGTTGATGCGATCAGGCAAGCGCATACCTCAGGGTGTGAGCGTGAGCGTGAGTGTGCGCGTGTGTGCCTTGTGACTGACAGACCTCTGGCTCTCATAGTCACTCTGGGAGAGTCCAGCCGGGGCGTGTTGGTTGGTGGCCTGAAATGAGGCCAATCCATGGGCTGTGCGGCACAGGCGTTGATAGCAGACGGAAGAAGGCGCTGGGCAGTTGGATAAGGTTGCAAGTGACCGACGAGGCCCATAAAGCGGCCCGTCCGGCTGACTGGTTGGTGGGACGGCAGGACAGACGCAAAAGGGGCGAGTGGGAGTTGGGAACATGTAGGAGGGGCCGCCAGAACTGGCCGCAGAAGCTGGCGATGGCAACGGGGTTTATATGAGCCAGTGAGGTGGGGCTAGGAGTTGGAACAGAAGCAGAAGCAGGCTGGGGCATCCGACGTGAGGCTGTGTGTGTGTGTGTGTATGTGTATGTGTGTGTCGCCATTTGTACGACATAGCGGAAAGAGCCGTAGCTGAATGAACGCTGACATGGCTTGCCGTCTGACAGATGATGCCTCTCATCTTTTTCCTGCTGCCTCTACAGTGTGGTTGTACATGTCAGATCTGCCTTGAATCCCTCATTGTTGGGGCCAAGAGGCTCAGGCTCAGGCTCAGGCTCAGACTCGGATCTTATCGCGAAGGCGAGGGATCCATGGGAGAACCATGAAACCATACCACAATGCCACATAACCATTGCTGGATCGACAACCTAGGCACTTCTGCTTCTTGCGCTGCGAGGTCGCAATCAAGAGGCGCACTGCGTTCCACCCAATCAACGCCTCTGCTCTGATCGGTCCAGGTACCGACAATGACGATGCACCCAACGTCACCCGTCCGGATCCGACTCCTTCGACCACACATATCACCACTGCCTGCAGCATTGAGGGCACAGAGACATTCGACCAGGACATGACTTGTCTCCTGCGCAAGCACTTTGGTTATCGCTTGCTGCTGCTTGTCCAACCCACCCCAGGCACCACACAGAGTCTACAAGGATCATGCTTCCTCACGTCGCTCTCCTCAACGACAGTCATCAGCACCATCGCGATCCATCTCGAGGGACTCCTGACTGTGCCAACAAGCCTATTTGACAGACTCTCACATGCCCTTTTGTGCAGGCCAGCCAACATGGTCAGGCCTCGAGATCCAACTGTCCACACCTCAAGTGAGGCTGTCCTGCCCGGTCCTGTCTCACACACGCGCGCGCACACACACACACACACACACAACCCCCCAACACACACACACGCGCGCGCGCGCACCGCCGGCTTCCTCTCTCCAAAGGGTGACAACAGTACGGCCCCAGCAACCAGGACGGCAGACCAACACCATGACATGCGCCCATTGCAAGGCTCGTCTACTGCGCCTACGCGGCTGTTGGAAGCTGACAAGGGCTGTTCAACCGAGCATCCATGTACCACTCAATCACAGGGCTGTGCCGCATACCTTCTTGGGGTGTCAGATACTGTACCCGATCGTGCTTCTCCACTGCACTGTGGAAGACGATGCACCTTGTCTGCTGCCACAACCATGACCACATCGTTTGTTCTTTGCCTAGCGAGGCCCAACCCAGTCCAGCTCCTTCTTCTCAACCCGCATTGGCCGCTGCCTGCCTGACCCTCCTTATTGATGCAGTTCCGGGGTCCGACTACTTGCCTGGGATCCTGCCAGGATGCCAGTAATTGCTTGATCTAGTAGATCGTCACAGCAACTGTTGGGCCAAAGATTCATTCTCTCCCTTCACTTCCTGACCTCTTGCGCCCAGGCAGCTCATGCTTTGGGCAGTCTGTGCCTCTTCAAATTAGCAGTCTGCCCCAATGACAGAGTTGTCACGATCCCTGCTGCAAGATATAGGCTGCAGAGTCTCGGGACTACCACGACCTGGAGACGAGTGCTGCTGCTGCTGCTGCATGGTTGGCATCACCTCAAGTGAGCTCGGAGGATCAACAAGCTGTGCTGGGAACCGGTTGGGCTGTACAAGGATATCAGCCTCAGATCCGCCAGACCCCATGGCCTGACCTCTGACTTTACTCTTGCAATATCTACTTTCACCCCAAACAAGTCTGCGGTCCCCGTCCCACATCAACCAACACCTTCTGGCTCACCTCGGTTTTGGGGGCTCCAGCAATCTACCTGGCTACCTGGTGCGCCTGTCTGCCTCCTGGCTTTCCCGGTATATAGCTGTCGCTTCCTTGCCACAGGTTGGGTGAGCCGACTCAGACTTGTGTCGTCCATGTCTTGTCGAGGCTATTGATGTCTTCTTCTGCCCCCGTCTCTAGGTTTAGTCGGCTTTCACTTGAGAGCATGCCTCCAACCACTCGTTCCCAGAGCCAACAGGAGCCCTACTCTGGCCATGACTCTGACCAGGACTCCGACGGCAGTGACGACGACGATGGCCGAGACACTGCGATGGTGGTCCGCTCGCCAATTACGGATATCAGCTACGACATCTCGAACCTTGATAATGAGACCCAGGATGGGGTGAGGCAACTCTTTGGACCGAATCCATTCGAGGGATCATCGCAGCTCGTCCTACAGGGGTGCCGGTCTTTTGTTGACGGCGACAGCCATTTCTACGCTTTTGAGATGCACGAAACCGTGCGCAGGCCAATCCGTGTGGGGTCTCCCAAGAATCAGTACCGCAAGCCAAAGTGTTTCTGCATGGGGGACAGTGAGAAACCTTGCAAGCATTTGATCTATTTGCTTGATCAGGTCAACTTTCACACAGCCGATCATCAGTCTGGACCGCCAGAGCACCTTGGGCCAGATGGATATGCAAGCGAGATGGGCCACCCGTTCGAGAGGATATCGGAATTCCACCTTGACCAGCTAGCCAGCAGCTTACACTGTGACCTTAAATCTCCAGACTTCAAGTCAGAGACCAATCCAGCGCACTTGCAAGATGTGCGTGAGATTCTGGCGTCTGTTGCGGAACCCGATCTTGACGATTATGCCTTCGAGCGCTTCCGCCCTGATATTTTCGACAACCCACAGGCCATCCCTGGCGAGGACGAGGTTATCTCTTATGGGGATCTTACCCATACTGTCGCAAATATGCTCCTTGACAATAAGGAATTCTTTGCTTACTTCCTGAGACTTCTCGAGCCAAGCTCAAGAGCACGCGACCCCTTCAGAAAGATCCAGCAACGCGTTGACCGAGTACTGGGCGACCTGGCGGCCTTTTCTCGAGATACTGGCCGAAATTCAACGGCCACGAGCGCCTTGGAGGGCCATAAAGATGTTCCTTGGGCCGCTGCGCATGTCGAGAGGGCCGTGTCCACGATCCAGTCTCTGTTGCAAAACAGGTCCGACGCACCATCAGCTCCCACAGAGCGAGCTAGCGCAGCTCGAGCACTGGTGCGGATCCTGTTCATCATTGTGTTCGACTGGAACCGCGAAATCATCCATCTTCCGGCCACAACTACCTCAACAAGCAGCAGCGGCTCATCCCCAAACCCTGCACAGACAACAACAGCACCATCCCGGAACGAGACCAATCTGTACCACAGACTCATTGGAGGACGGACTCATGGACCCTCTGCCTTTGTGATTGACGTACTCGCCCAGCTGCCCGAGCAGAATCAGTGGATTGAGACGCTCGAGGAGATCGATGATAGGCTGAGCACGTACGCCCCGCCTGCAGGGTACGTGAGTCGACTGAGGGACGTCATCTTGTCCATGAGGAGTAGTCGACCAGCTCCAGCCCCGGAAGCCCACATGTCCGGCCCAAGTCGAAGGGGCGGTGGCAATGCGGCGGGCAGCAAGAGGAGCAGGGGTGGCGGGAACGGGAGAGAGGGCGGAGCCAAGAGAGTGAAGTGACAGGTTAGAGAGAGAGAGAGAGAGAGAGAGAGAGATAGAGAGAGGAGGAAAGAGGAATTGTATGGGGCGAGGGTGGTTTTCAGGGAGGGAGTAACCGTGCTGGCTCGGTTTGTCACTGCCAAGAGTTTCATGGTTGCACCTGAAGAGCGATGTATACACCGAGTCCAAGCCTTCAGTCTGACAGACCTGTCTTGATACTCAAGAGGTGCAATTTTCCATTCTCACACCAACATTTTATTTTCCATCTAATAGTCGTTTACAAGGAAGTCACGGATACCCTGCGTCGTAGCCATGGTAATAGGTCATTCAATGCGAGTCAGCTGGTCCAACAAGAGAAAGTCTTTTCTATTTTCTTTGATAATAGCATCGCTGAGGCTATGCCAAATGAAGGGCTGATGAACAGCCATGCTCACTGTTTAGGTGTACGGGAAGGAGGCGGAGAGCTCGTAAGCATCTGTCCTCGTGCCAGTCCTTGCCGAACCCTATCCTCTATGAACCATTAGATCCCAGATTCCAATACTCCGAAACCCATCGTGAATGGTCGAGGGTATTGATGACCACTCTCCGTGACTGTCACTAAAAGGACTCAAAAATGCACTCGCAAACAAATTTACTCACCCAGCACCTTGCGCTGGAAAGCTTCCATTGCACCGTCGACCTCCTCAAGCGAAGGCCGGTTGAAGATGTTCTCATTCCATGTCCCATTCTTCATCTTCCTCTCCCTCTCTAGCAGGAAATTCTCAGCCCAGGCGACCTCCTCCCTCCAGAAGTTGGCGGCGACCTGGCGTATCACGCGAACTCTTTCTCCCCGGCCCCTGTAGTATTTTGAATCCCTCTCCGCAGGCCGGAACAGTTCTGATGACCCGAGCTCACCACGCAGCTCGAGCTTGCTGCCCTTCCGGACGACGAGGCCGCTGAGCTGGGGTCGCCTGCCGCCGGTGCAGCGTTCGATAAGGGGCCTGAGCTCCGGCGGCGTGCGCTCGAACGCCGGGAACTCGAACTCGGGCTCGTTGCGGTACGACTGCCAGACGGCGCCGCGCTGTGGGGCGCTCATGCCCTCGAAGACGCACCACAGCAGCCGGCCGAGCATGTAGACCTCGGCGCGCTCCTGCTCCGTGGGCGTCAGGCACGCCCAGGCCACATTGTAGCCGTGCGGTGGGTTGTGGTAGTGGTTGTCTGTGCCGCCGAGGTCCCGCCACCCGGGGTGCAGCCGGTCGAGGAGCGCGGCGTAGCGCAAGCGGAGGTCGCGGTTGCGGAGCTGGGCCGCCTCGGCCGCCGTCGGCACCGCCACGTAGCTTTCGTCGTCGTCTTCGTCGTCTTCGTCGTCGCTGGCGAGGATGCGCATGTATTCGAGCGCGTTGACTTCTGGGGAGGCGAATTCGCACCACACGCCGCGCTGCTCGAAGTCGATGATCACGGGCCGCGTGTTGTCGGGTGTCAGCACTATCTGGTCCAGGCGCATGTCCGCGTAATACATCTTGCCCTTCTGTCGGATGTGGACCAGCCCCGAGCATATCTGCTTGGCCCAGCGGACCTGGTCCTCGAGGTAGAGCTTCTTGTTCATCCGCAGCACCGGCAGTGCGTCCCGCAGGTTGATCCCCGAGTAGTATGGCTCCAGGAAGCCGATGACCACTGTCCTCCTCGCGTTGGACCGTGTCTTTTTCGTGACCAGTCTGGTTGGTCGGTCGAGCACGTTTGGGTGGAGCGGCATGGTCAGGAGGTTTCGGAGCTCGTGGTACATGTACTTGACACTGCTGATGAGGGCCTTGAGCGCCCAGAGCACCTCTTTCCCCTCCTCTCCACGATATTTGACTAGGCACACACTGTCCTGCAGCTGTCGAACATGGATCAAGCTGAAGAGATCAACAGTCGGTGGCATTTCCTCCGCGTCCATCTGCCACATTTCCCCCAGTTCCCGAGGGGAAAGCTGGTGGTACTCGAGATTATGCATTGGACCAATGACAATTTTGGCATCGCGAACATTTAGAGGGAGATTCTCAAAGACGATCCGGGTGCCAAAAGGCTGGTTATAGTACATGTCCTTGACCCTCTCCAGCCCGCACACTTGCGTTGTCCATAGTTGCAGCGCTCTGACGATGTAAGAGGCAATGGCCTGCTGCTGGACTCGGGTGCGATCACGGGCGTGAAAAGCGTCGTCCAGGTCAAGGAGTTCTCGTACCAATCGCGACTCTGTTGCCTTCTCAGATATGAACACATCGAAGCGCATCGGGGGAGCATCTTTGATGAAGGTAGCAACTGCGAAGTATTGTGTGCCCAATCCGGCTCCGCCATCTATGGTCCAGAGTGCCGATCTCAAGGGCGCGAGGCTGTCGATTCGATTCTTTGGGTTCAGTTGCGACTCCCCCCACGAGGTCTCGAGCGAGTCGGTCTGGTTTTGGTCTGGCACAAGGCGGTCGATTGGCAATTCGTAGATTGCCGTCGGGTGTATCACGTCGTGGATTGCCTCTGAGGTCAGATCCATGTTGAACTTGGCCCCTGGCCTATGGTGTACCTATTCTTTTGTTTGAGAAGGGGAGGAGAGTGTGGACGCCGTGGTGACTGTCCGAGCCGTTGGTCCCGAGATGCGTCCAAGGGAAGAAACGAGCGACTGTGGACAATGTTTGTGTTTGTGGAAAACAGCAATCCTGTGTCAGGCAGGATTTGGCCGTGTATTCTAGGTACTTCCTACGTAACCCCAGAGGTTTGTGCCTGATCCCAAACCTGATATCTGACAAGCCGGAGCCTGCGTCGGCAGGTTCGTGCCGAACCGAAGGCGTTCCGATCTGAGACAGCCTATAGGAGATGCTGCCCAAGCAAAACAGCAGCCCGAAGAACTGGGCTGGCGTCTCCGGGGAATCTGGATGGTGGAGGTGGGTGGGTTACGAGTCGTTGGACGTCCTGGCCCCAATGTTCCCCTGCAGGTGGAATCAACCCGATCGTACAGGGGAGGCTGGTATGATTGGGCCTAAAGGATGTGGTCAGGATTTTTGGGCGACTCCAAGAAGACATGGGATGGCTAAGGGCCTGCTTGAAGCCCTTATGGTCAAGTCTCCAGCCCAGAGAAGGGTTAAATGCTAATTTTCCCACCGGAGAGCGTCCCACTGTCAGGGTGGAGGTCCTCCCACTGAAGAGCATTCTACTGGCAGCGTCTCTGCCAGCAGGCCCACCACCAGAGGGTATCCGTCTGAAGGCATTCCACAGGAGAGTAGGACAGACTGTGGCTTACCTTGGACGCACTGGGGCAGTTTTGAGGCAGGACACGGACCAGACACCACCAGTAAGGACGTCACAGGGTTCAAGACGAGCAGTCAGACGTGTGAGGCACTGGTGAAGGACTGACAAGGATCTGTGGCAATGCTGAACTATCCACGTTGATATCAGATGTAGGCGAAGATCTGAGCGATGTTGCGCTGGAGCCACAGTGCCGGCTCCCCGTTCTTCCTGAGTCTGACAAATACGCCATCAGCACAGTCATTGTCAACGGAAAGGTGGCTAGGAAGAGTCAGGGTAGGACAGTTTTGTAGGATCTGCTTGCCTTGATTGTTATTGCGGCACGGTTGGTGATTTGCAGCTCTTGAGGCGGGCGACTTTTACGCATGAAGCCAGAGAGTCGTCTCAGGTGTCAAATTCTATGCGCCAAAATTAAGTGCCTGCTTCGAGTAGGGAGCTCAAGCATGGAGCGAGGCCTGCAGAATTTTGACAAGTGACCCAGTTCTGTTGGTTCAGTCGTCACTCAAATGGCCGCTTTATAGGGTACGGGAGCGCAATTTGCCGCCACCCTTCTTGTTGAACTCGGGTCTTTCAACACAGTCACTGCTCAGGTGGTGCCATCCATGACTATCTGGCTACAGTACCCAGTGACTTGGGGCCTTGGAAAGGGCAATGTGGTAGACTTGAATGATTTTGGTCGTGACAGGCCGGCAGCGCCAACGTCTCTGATTGCTTTTGCTTGAGGTGGTATTAGGGCATGACATGGGTCTACATATGCATGAGGAGCAAGCCGTGTTCGGCCCCGGGTGCGGACCGGAGCACGGCGCTGTCTCAGACCTGGGCCCCAGTCTTTGAGACGGCACCCAGCCGCTTGCCTACGAGTATGTGAAGGGCGAGAATCTATATCTAGAGCGGAATGTGCTGAAGGAAGCACGGTTCGAGTATCAGGGGCATCTTCATGCGGCAATCCTCGACCCCGCGGTACAAGCTGATGCCTAAAGCTATTCCTTGCACCAACTTTCGAGAGAATCGCAATAGGAAACTGCCCAGGTGGCCAGAAAAGACCCGGACATCAATCATGAGCGACTGCAAGCGTGAGAAAAAGAAGTCGAAGCTTGTTCGACTGTACGGTTCCACGTGGAGAGAGAACTGGGGGAAGCCGGCGTGTGTCCATGTCCTTGGGACAGGGCAGTACGGTTTCCTCTGAACGAGAATGGGCAGCAATCTACTACAGAAAGCTCTGCGAATGCCGAGGCCATGTCTGATCTCGCCTGCCAGCCTTCAAAAATGGCCTGATTCCACACGACCAGGTGATGAGATGAATCAACATGCTTGACTGGGGAGCGAGTTCATGACGGGACCGGTCGGACGACGACAGAGCAAACAACGACGGGTTTGGGCTTGCAGTTCTCTGGTGACCAACTCTGTTCGTGCTCAAGTGCGGCTGTTTGCTTTTCGCGAGACGGATCAGCCGCCAGGTGCTGTTGAAACCCGGCCAGGAGCCTGGGAATTGACACCGCGACACTCGTTTGCAATCGGCTATGGGCATAGAACGCCCTCTATCGGCATGGATGTCGGAGGTGGAATGACGCCGGGTAGGCACGCCTTCGAGCAACTCGAGGCGGATTGCTTCCTCCCTGTCGTGGTCGTATCTGCAGTGCAGTTGACGCGTGTCGTGTAAGCAGGATACCGGACTGACCGAACCTTTCTGTTCTGGCTGTGCGATCGAAGAAAGACATACGACAAGTACTGTGACAGACGGCGCAACGTACTGCGCACAGTCCGGTGAGAGAGAATGAGGCGCCCAGATCAAGCAAGCGGCCGACCGACAGCGAAGCAAACAAGACGCGATCAGAGAGGGTGGATGAGAGCTAGAATTCAATCGTGCAAACTTCCACCTGCGAAGTGGATGCTGGCGACTCGGCGCAGTCGGCGAAGGGGGAGCCACCCCCCTGGCTTCGGTCTATCCATGGTTGTCCTTGGGCCCTTTCCGACCTTCGCCGGCGTGCAGTGCCCACACTCTTTCCAGATTGAGCCGCTGGCAGATGGGAACCAGGACCAAGGCCTGCAGGAGACCAGATGATTTGGCGAGTTGCGTCCTGCTTTGCGCTGGAACCCTCCTCACCGGTAGCCGAATAGGGCAGAAAGAGATGCAGGTGGTCGACTCGCTCGTCGTTTCGGCCCTGCCTGCACCGGTCAAGCGGTCAAAAGTCAAAAGGCGGGTGGCTCACCGGTCGCGCCAGTGTGGAGCCGCAGCCAACCCCAGGGCTTGTCCAGGGCGAGCGCGATCTCGACAGAAGCCAATGTGGAATGGAGTAGTGCCCTAAACAGGCCAAGTGACGACCCATGCCCATTATGCTGTCAGCAGATCATCCCCCCTCCCGTAGCCTTGGGCTCCTGTTCAGGTGTTGAAACGGCCAACATGGATGACGACCTTGCTACCAGCTGGAAAGCCACCTGATGCTGGACCGGAGCGTTCGTCCCCGTCGGGTCTTGCTTCAGACCGCCTGCGCTGCTCTCGAGGTAGCCTGCCGGTCCGAACAGCCTGGGGACAGATGGCTGAAAACAGAGCTCAACCACACGGATTTTCACGGACAGACCCTTTCTGAAGCTCACGATCCGCAAGGCGCGGGGCGAGGTGCCGTCAAGGGGTGCTCGATCCGGTACCCACTGCAATCCATGCAGGGGACAGGTCTGCTGGGTATTCCCGCCGAGCCGCTGTCTTGGGTCAGGATATACCTGGCTGCATCCCGCCTTGAAGGGCGAGCGGGAGCCCAGGAGGAATGATTTCCAACACCACGCCGCTGACCTGACGAAACCTTCACCATTGGGCAGGAATCCTCACTTCAATGACCCCGTGGTAGACACGGATTGAGAAAGGGTGGGTCTGCGCGCAAAGAAGATGCCCCACCCGCGGGCGTCAAGCCTATTTCCCACGATGCTGCAATGGAAAGCCATCACACACGCGAGCGAGCCCTGAGTAGTGTTGTAGAGACTCTGTAACTTTGGCTTACTGGCGCTCCGCCATTAATGCGATGAGGACAGTATGCAGTCCGCTCGCTGGCCCATGGATTGAGTTGGATTGCGGTGAGTATGCATATGGAAGCCAATATTATCTGTCTACCGACGGGTCCTGATGTCTGCTCTCCATGCCTCCACTTGTCACTCGGATGTATCTCAGGCAAGGGGCGTCTGGCGATGAAAGAGGGAGGTGCCTGACTATCAAACCACCAAGGCGCACGCGAGGCGCGGGAATGCAGTTGTCTGCACGTGTAGACAAGGAACAATTATGGAGCACTTCATGAATCTTGCGGCACACCCCACGCAACTGTCGAGACCAAGTCCAGTGGACAGGCCATCGAGGCAACTTCAAGCAGGGGCTTCAAGCAATGAGTAGTGTTCTTTTCATCGGCCATGGCACGTTCCCTCATGCCTCACGTGCCAAGGTATGTTTATACTCTCGTGCCCCGTCACAAGCTTTTCAACCGGGGATCGGTTCCGATCAAGTGAGCCAGCGGTGGCGGACAGCAATGTCAACATCGCAACCCACATTGCGATGATCCGGGCAGACTTTGCCATGTGTCGCAAATGCTTCTTTAGTTGCAATGCATGAAGAAGCCCGCAGGTATCAAGGCGAGCGTTATGCCGTGCTGCGGATTCAGTTACACAACGGGTGCAAAAACGGCTGTAGATCCCCCACAACAAGGGCACAAGGCTGTGGGCGAACACCTCTTCTTATCCATATTGGGAGCAGGCCTCGTCGGTCGATGCCTCATTGCACCAGGTGGATTCAATCACACTACGCTAGTGAAGGTGACGGCTTAGTGATGCAATTCTGACGGCCGACTGACGGGTTTCCATTTGCCATGTCGGACTTCTGGACCGGTAAAGATGCTGAAAAAAGCAGTCATCACTTACCGGTCTGCGAATCTGCGGGAGTCAGAGTCGTGGACCAAGTCAAATGGCGCTGTGGAAAGGTATGGGGATAGCAAGTCTGTATTGCAGTACTTGCTCTCCAAGTCTCTGCCCCGTGGAACGGGTTCAAGCGGGAGTTTCCAGTAGCGGCAGTGGCAAAGTTGGAGTTGATGAGTTGGCCATCCTTGTACCGTCACGGAGGGTCATGTTGCAGGTGCTGTTAGTGATATCTTGCATTTTGATAAGGGGCAAGAGGATATCGTGATACCAAAGAATCGACCGTGCTGATACTACGGGCTCACTCTTGTTATAGAGATTACTGAACTGGTTCGACACTTGTTGCATGTGACTCGTCAG